GGCGGGCGAGACCCGTTGGCCTCCGCGCGTCCAGCCTGGCTCTTCGATCCTCTCCCGACTCCTTCGGTTGATTCCTATTCATCCCTGGGCGAGTGGCTTCCTGCTGCGCCCGCTGCGTGGGGAGCCTCGTCGCTCTCTCTCTCCTGCGCGGAGCCCAGCTTCCTCACCTTCTCCGACCCCGAAAGGATGGTTGTCAAAAGGGTCCGGCATTGCAGTGCCGCTCTGGACGTCGTGCCGCCACGCCAGCTCTTTTGGAGCCCGCAGGCTCAGGCGACCTTAAGTTATCATCTGCACGTCACTTTTGTACAGATTGCAGGAAACTCATGATCAGCTCGCTCCCAAAAGGAAGTTGGGTAACGCCTTTCTGTCGGGTCGCCCGAATGTCCTGTTAAAATGAGGAAAGGCAGACTTCTGATTCTTGCAGAAATGTGAGCCAGACAGACTCAAGCTCATAAAGTTTGGGAAGGGTTGGGGGGAAACGGGGTGAGGGAATCATCCTGCTCAGATACTGTGTAAGTTGTTGGAGTTGGAGATAACTGAGCTTCAAAATGGAGACTCTGACTGTGGAGTGCCAGTTGAAGGTGTGGTTTTATTAGGTCGAGCCTTCAGAAATGTAGAATTACTGTACTTACCTACCTTTTGTCTACAGAATAAACTACATCTTTACATAGACAGCATGCTACTTTTCATGAAGGTACATGGTGCAAAAAGTGGGAGAAGGGGGAAGAAAAAGAACTTGCAAATTTTTGTGACGTTTTGGTTAATACTATTTAAAAACGGTGCTGGTTCTCAGTTCCATGCATTCACCTCACAATTTGGAGTTTGTCTTCGAGATGTATAGTTATTTTCACTTTTGCTCAACACTAACAGTTCAATCAAGTAGGGCGTATCAAGAACTGATATACTGTAAAGGGAAACTATTTTACTCCTAATAGCTTAATCCTACGCATGCTCATTCAAAAACCCGTTATCTTTCATTAAGCCAACACTTCTTGGGAGGAAAGCGATGACATGCATGCTCATTCAAAAACCCGTTATCTTCCATTAAGCCAACCAACACTTCTTGGGAGGAAAGCGATGACAAACCTTGACAGCATCTTAAAAAGCAGAGACATCGCCTTGCCAACAAAAGTCCACATAGTCAAAGCTATGGTTTTTCCTGTAATGATGTATGGAAACAAGAGCTGGACCCTAAAGAAAGCTGGCCGCTGAAGAATTTATGCTTTTGAATTGTGGTGCTGGAGGAGACACTTGTGAGTCCCCTGGACTGCAAGGAGAAGAAACCTATCAATTGTAAAGGAAATCAATCCCGAGTGCTCACTGGAAGGACAGATCCTGAAGCTGAGGCTCCAGTACTTCGGCCATCTCATGAGAAGAGAAGACTCCCTGGAAAAGACCCTGATGTTGGGAAAGTGTGATGGCAAGAGGGGAAGGGGACAACAGAGGACGAGATGGTTGGACAGTGTCATCGAAACTACCAACATGAATTTGACCCAACTCCGGGAGGCAGTGGAAGACAGGAGGGCCTGGCGTGCTCTGGCCCATGGGATCATGAAGAGTCAGACACAACTAAATGACTAAACAACAACAAATCCTCTTTCTGTTTCCTCAGAAGTAATCTACCCCCTTTCAGTGAGGTTTGTTCTCAAGTAAGCATGCCAGAGCCTGCTGCCTGGGTGCAATCTGCATTATGACTGGGAGAATCAAGGATACATTAGATTACGAACATTTAAAGCATTGTCAATTTGAATGCATGGAGTTTTTGAAAGATAAACAGTTTATGTTCTGAGATTATGTGGGTTATTCTGTAAGATAAACATTAGTTTATGTTCTGAGATTATGTGGGTTATTTGAATTGGCACTGAAGTGGGTCAAGACTGAATCAGACCAGTAACTCAAAAGAATCAGAGGTTTATTCTTCCATGGGCAGAACCCTGTTATTGTACATGTAAGATTTATGTAACTTGATGTGGTTAATTGAAGGGCTGCTGGAGTGTATCTCAGTTGCATACCTGACTCCATGCCCAATTCCAGAATCTAGATGTGCCCCATTAGCTCATCAATCAACCACAATCAGTTGCAGCAAGTTACACAAACCTTATGCAAACCTTATGAATCCAGTAGGATTCAAGCCCATATGTTTACGATTTCATCTACAATGGTGCCTCGCATTACGATGTTAATTTGTTCCAGCAAAATCGATTTAGAACGAAAACATCGTAATGTGAAAATAAAAAGCCTACAGAAACAAATTGAAACCCCTTCAATGCATTCCAGTGGGCTGGAAACTCACCATCCAGCGAAGATCCTTCATAGGGCGGCCATTTTCGGTGCCTGTGCAGCAAGGAATCTGTCCCAGAAAACAGCGGGGATCAATTTTATTTACCCGGTGGCAATTTTGAAACCACTGATCAGCTGGAGGAAAATCGTCGTTTTGCGAAGAATCTATTCCCGAAGCATTGAAACAATCATTGCAAAGCGAAAAAAAACCCATTCAGACCATCGTTTTGCGATCGCGAAAGATCGTTGTAATGCAGTTTTGTCGTAATGCGGGGCAATCGTAAAGCGAGGCACCACTGTATAATAGTCAGTTACTTAAGAATAATGATAGGCATTTAAAGCAGGATGACTTCAAAATAAAGTTATCCAAGATAACAAAATTGTTTTTGCTTTGTCTACAGTATAAATTTCGAGATCTGACCATTGAAGAATTGAAGAGTGTACATGAGTTGTACCCAAACATCAGATTCACCATGAGCACCTATAGTAAGAATACTTTCTGTTGATTTGGCCAGTAGACAAACTGATTGTGTGAGAATGTTACTTTTGTTGTAGAAAACTGGCATATTTTAAAGTAAAAATAATAAAACTAATTTCCATAAGTGTACACATACCCCTGACTAAAAGATGCTTTTAAAAAATGAGAAATATCTTGGTGAACTGCATCCACCCCATAGGCCCCAACATATTCGTGTCAGGCCAGATGCTAACATTGGCCATGCTTGCTCCTTCTGCTCACATTACTTGCCTTTCTCTGGATGATCACTTGAGAGAATCAAAGACTGTGAGATGAGGACTCCAACCCTGAGGTCCAGTCATAGATACACCGGTGTTTCTGGATAAGGTTTCATTTCCTTGTAAAAGTAGGCATAGATTCATCTCTGTCAGTGGAGACTTAAGAGTGGCTTAAGTGGCAAGAGTGCTTGCTATCAATCTCTGCTGGTTTGACAGCTGTGATCATTTCTGGAAAGTGATAACTGGCTACAGTGATTTATGTATTAATGACCTTGAGACTAGACTGCTACAATTTGCTTTATATGAAGTTGCCCTTGAAAATGGTCCCAAAGCAGCATCTAATGTAAAGATCCCTGCTGTATACCTATGACTCTTATGCTGAAACTTCGGCATGGCTGCAAATTAACTAGCAACACATGTTTCATGGTATCAGAAGTTGTTTCCCAGTTGCTCCCACTGGTCCCAGTCCCAGTGACTGCAGTTTTTTTTACTATTAAAAGCTTTTCCCTCTACACATTCTGAGACTCCCAAAAGCTTCCCCAAGGCAAAAGGGAGCCTTGGAACCTAAAAGATGGATAAGAAGATTTTAATTACTTTTAATTAAATGTTTCTAGCACCCAAACCAAGTCTTGCTGGCACAAAGTTATGGAAAAGAATTTTGACCAATAAAATATCCACAATAATATTTTGTAGGAGACAATGAAATCAGGTTGATGCCAGGACAAACACTTTTTTTTTCTGAAATAACAGAAACATAGTACAGTACATTGGAATGAAGAAAATCTACACTATTGTAAGCAAAGCTTGGTCCACATAATGTAAAGAGTATGAAACCAGGAAGCCTTTCAGATAATCTGACCAGAGCTATTTAAGACCTTGTTGTAAAACAATATTGACAAAATTGCACAGGAGGATTTTACCCATTGTTTTATTGCCAATAATTGATCTACTGTCTTTGTTATAATGTTACCTTTGTTAAAATGTTGTCTTTTGTTACAATATTCTCTTGTGCTTGGCTTTGAGATTCTCTGTGAATATAAAACAGTACATACAGTTTGCTAATGAATAAAAACTGTGATCAAGTACAGAGTGAATTTGATTTAAGTCATGATTTAAATTTAAAAAATAGATTTTTGATTGGATTGTAAATTAAATCAATTTGATCTTTGAAAAAAAATCATTGATTTTTATCAACCCTGCCAAGTACCTTCTTGTGCATTTCCAGCCCGCATGTGTGGTGACAGTCATCAACAGCCACATAACTACCACGTGACAGGTACTTTGCCATCTAGCCAATTCAGTTTCCACACTGGAAGTTGCAATTTGTTATTTGAACAGGACACTGGCCTGTGATTCCATAAATAGATTTGGCTAATAGGCAGAGTGAGTAATTTCAAATAATGAATTTAATTCCATGTACTTGCATTCAGCATTGATAGTGCCTTGTGCTGTGTAATCTTAGGTAGCTGTTGGTCCCAACTAAAGAAGGGTGACTGAATCAGTAGGAATTACACCAGTATTGACTTAATATCCATTTAATTTAGTTTCTGTTCATAGTTAATAGGAATTAGTCCTGTGATGCTTTCATTAAAATGTTAAAACAATAAATGTGTAACATAATAAATCATTTTTCTAGGTTTAATTTGAAATGGGAACAAAACAGTATTATCTGTGCCAATTTGAAGAGATTTTAAAGGGAAAAATAAAATCCATGTACTGTACACAAAAAAAATTATGTTCTGAATTTCAGCTTTCAAGGATGGGTCCCAAAAAGATCTGTTGAATTTTAGTGGTACAGTTCCAGTGAAATATCAGGGTAAGTTCAGTGGATTGTTTTTGTTCATTGATAGCCAGTTTGATTCTTAATAATACATTGTTATTGTGGACCTGTCAGCAAATGCTACAGTGGATCCTCAATCTTAATCCTAATAGCCTCCTATTCAGATACCTCCATTATGCTATTTTGTTGTACACCAACCCACATTTCCTGTTTTCCTTTTCCATGCAAACTCATGCTGATATTCTTGAAGATTTTAACTAAACAGGCACAGTGTTCATGGCCTCCTTTGGGGAAACTGGATGGATGGCCTGTTAGATTTTTTTTTACTACTTCTGCAAACATTGGTGGTTTCCTGAGCATTCTTATATACAACCTTCTAGTTTCTTAGTAATCCTGTTTTCACTCTGTTCTCAATAACATTCAGTTGCCTGGGGTTGCTATTATGTGAAGAGCGAGCCTTAAGATGGCTGTTGTAGGTTTTTTGGGCTGTTTGGTCATGTTCTGAAGGTTTTTCTTCCTAACATTTCACCAGTCTCTGTGGCTGGCATCTTCAGAGGATAGGAGTTAGACCTATGTCTGTGTTCTGGTGTAGTGTGTTGGATAGTTGAGAATTTGTAGCTGTGGGATCAGTTTTTTGTTCTTTTCAGGAGATTGGGTGATTATGGTGATCAGGGTGTTTTTTGTTGTGTGTACAGTGGTGCCTCGATTTACGAACTTAATCCATCCCAGAAGATGTTTATAGGTCAAAAAGTTCATAAGTCGAATCAGCATTTCCTAGAGGAATGCATTGAAAACGGATTAATCCATTCCGGCTGTTGTTTGTTTGTATGTAGAGGCGTCATTTTTAAGTCGAAGCATTCTTTCCCATAGGAACTAATGCAAAACCGGTTAATCCATCCTCTACCACTAGGGGGAGAATTTTTTTAACCTAAGATGACTTAGGTTAAAAAAAGGGCAGGGAAGGAGGGAGGGAACGAACACCTTTTAAACAAACATCTTTAAAACCAAGCAGCTTTAAACTAAACCAAGCACCTTTTAAACCAATTTTTACATTTTAAAATTACAGTACCAGGCAATCCAAAGTCTATTTCCTGCTTTCCATGCATTCTTCTTTTGTTTGTAAGTCGAAGCTCAGTTCGCAAGTCGAAGCAAAATTTTGTGAACGGAGCTGTTCATAAGTTGAAATGTTTGTATGTAGGGGTGTTAATAAGTCAAGGCACCACTGTATTGTTTTGATAAGAGGGGGAGATGATCTATCACTGTGATTGATGGGTGTTGTTAGCTAGTCTTTTGTATGCAGTGATCACCGGTCCTTGTGTCTGGGTAGAGTTGTTTGGTTGACCTTTTGCGGGCTGTATGTTTTAGTGCTGGGAGCCAGGCTTTGTTGAGTTTTAGACTTTCTTCTTTTTTGCTGAAGCTCTGCTGGTATTTGTGAATTTCAATGGGTTCCCTGTGTAGCCTAACATAATGATTGCTGGTGTTGTCCAGTACTTCTGTGTTTTGAAATAGAATTTCCTGTCCAGCTTGTTTCAGGGCTTGTTCAGTTACTGCCGATTTTTCCGGTTCTTTTAGTCTTCAGAACACGGCCAAACAGTCCGAAAAACTTACAACAACCATCCGTGAAAGCCTTTGAGAATACAGAGAACTTTAAGTTTAGATCACTCAGGTAACCTTCAAAGGCTCTCCTCCACAGGCTCCTGCCACCTGACACAAAACAGGCAGCAATGATAAAAAGAGACTTCTCAGTTGTTAAGCCCACATCTGTGGAATACTATCCTTTGCTTTCCTTCCAGGCTGGTCAAAGACCTTTTCATTATTCTAGATCTATTGTGCAGATTTTATGTGGTATTTTCAATGCTATTGTTTTGCAATAAATTGTGTGTTTTATTTGTGAACTGCTTTGGAAATACTTTTATCAAAGTGTTGCTTATGCATTATTTAAATAGTTAAATATAGGAACTTATATTTAAGAGCAATGTTGCCAAGGCTCTTCGGCTCCACAGCTTAGTTGCTGAAATAAAGAAACTGTTAGGAAAGCCACAAATTGAATTTTGTCAGTATCTGCAGTCTTCCCAGCCCTGATACAATGCCAATGTACAATTTTTAAACTTTACATAATCAGCCAAACATTGATGACAGTAGCTTATGTGTTATATTTTGACAGGTAATTCTTACAATATTCCAGTTTGCCTATGGATTTTAGATTCTCATCCTTTTACTCCTCCAATTTGCTTCTTGAAACCTACTGCAAACATGGGAGTTTCTATAGGAAAACATGTAGATGCCCGTGGAAGGATCTACTTGCCATATCTGCAGCACTGGAGCCATGTAAGGGATATGTGCCCATTACATATTTACTATTTTGCTAAAACAAGCTGACTTTTTAAATTGTTTATGTAATGTACAGTATATCATATATCTTAACTGTATAAACACATACCTTTTAATTGAAGATGTTAGCCTATATGTATAATTAAACATGTTGTAGAAAAGAGAGACTTTTTTTCTAAATAGCAAAAGGTTAAGTGTGTGTGTGTGTGTGTGTGTGTGTATTGTTAAAGGTGAAAGAAGGTACCAGAATGAGGAAAGCATTAACAAATGCTTAGTACCATTATGAAATTGGTCCCTGAGCACTGTGAATGGGTCTATCATGGATTGTTTGGTCTTTAAATATAAAGCAGGGATTTGACCAAATTATGCTAATATTTCTTAATGGCTCTAAATTGTCTAATGGGCAATTCATCTTCAAGGATGACTTCTAAGAACAATCACTGGGCAGATTATGCAAACCGGTGTTTCTGCAACTTGAATAGGTGGAGGGCAGCATTCAGGTGGAAAATGGATTTTTCCCAATAGTGTCTCCAGGCAAAGTCCTTTGAGGGGAGGGGATATGAATTAGTGACAATTATCCCTATAAGCCAAGTCTGTTCTTATTTGTGCAGGCCCAATTCTGAGTTCTGCTTTGTAATTTTTTTTAAATTTTTGTTGCAGTAGAAGGAGGTGGGAGTGAGGGCTCAGAACTGGCTGATGCACTTAGAAAAATAAATAAATTGATAAGCTCTTTCTCTATATATTTTTTGGCAGTCCATAATAGCTGTGTGAGGAAAGCCTTGTGTTTCCAATCTGTTTAGATATAGGAAGGGCTGCCTACCCTACTAGAACACTTGCTATCTAAAATCTCTCATTCTTGCTGTATGTATTTCAGCCGAGATCGACAATCATAGGCCTGACGGAGGAAATGATTGCAAAATTTGAAGAGGAGCTGCCTCTGTATTCATTATCATCCACTGATGCAGCCAGACAGTTGGAGTTACTCTCCTATATTGCAAAAATCACTGAAGGTGTGCCTCTTCTTTGGAACTCGGTATCTATGGTTGTTGTGGGTTTTCCAGGCTGTTTGGCCATGTTCTTAAATTCATACGTTGTATTTCATATCTTTTGTATGAAAAACATGTGCTCAACTACTGAACTACACCTTACATTTTGTATTACATGTTGTTGAATGAATGGGAGAGTATCTATAAGGCAGTGTTTTCCAACCTTGGGGCCATGACCTCCAAGAGGGTTGCAAAGTGTTTTCTGGGGTGGGGGTGTCATTGGTCTCCTTACATGCATTGTAGCCCTTGTTAAATGATTCCTTTATTCACATTTTGGAGTGAGATATTAAAGTTATCATATATGTGTGCATATGAGAAACGTACGTTATTTGGGGAAGAAAGAAACCTCTTGATTCTGAGAAGGGATGATTTTACCCCATTAAAATGCCTTTTTATGCAAATATGATGGGAGGGTCACGAGTTACTTGGCTATTCTAAAAGGGGGTCACAACACAAAAAAGGTTGAGAACTACTGCTGTAAGGGGTTGGCGACAGGTAAGGGAAGTATGGCTACATTTGAAATATTTTAGGGACCATTTAGCACCAGTATGTAAGTAGGATTAGTGAACTTGGTGGGAACAAAGCTAATTGCTCAACAGGACCTGTAAGTGTGCTCTCTAATATATTTTTTCCTAGGGATGCTGCTTGTATTCTTATAAATCTACTGTATGTCTAATAATTTATTGACAGATATCAACGAAGATTGCCTTCTGCATAAAAATGCACTACTAATAGGTGCCACACCTACTGAACATTTTGTCTCTGTTCTAACAATGTATTGTGGTAATGCCATGAGAATTCTATTAGAACCAAATAAATAGTTTCTAATGGTTGTTGTCGGTTTTCGGGCTCTTTGGCCATGTTCTGAAGGTGGTTCTTCCTAACGTTTCGCCAGTTAGGCAGTGTGTCTTTGTCATATAGCTTCCCCCTATCAAGGCTTCCAACCAAAAAGGGTCTCCTTTCTCACTTCTTGTGGTTCCCATGTAGCTTATAAAAATAAGCTGATAATACTTTGACAAATATTTTTGCAGTTGAGACTTGTGTCATTGTAGAGTGGAATATTTCATTAAGACTTGCATTAATGTAACACATCCTATGCATTTTTAAACTTGTGGGTTATATTTGAAAGGTGTTCAGAGAAACGGACAAATGTTGGTCAGGGAAAGTCCTGGAAAGTCTGGGAAATGAAAAATAAAAATTCAGTGGCAAGCCTGACTGAGTTTCAAGGCTCAGAAGGGCTTAACCCTTGCATCTTGTAACTAACCTTATAGTATACCAATGTAAGTGTTTGTTTCATTAGACCTAGCCAATGTTTTTATGCAACTCTATGGTTTATAATTGTGCAGATTATATAAGCTATCGTGTGATTTTAGGTGAAAACAATATACAGTCCAAGGGAAATGGGAAGAAAGATGATGGAAAGTTTAATAAAGTTACAGTGATTGGATCAGGGGATCTAGGCCTTGCTTGTGCACTGGCTATATCAGCAAAGGTACGTACTGTACATCATGTGAAATCACTGCTGTGGTTGCTTCTATAGAGGTTGCAAAAAACGATAAGTTTAGTCTTGATTCAAAAAAGACATGGCTGGCTGGATAGCTGAGTGGTTTTGGTATCTGACTGACGAGGAAGTGGTTGGGAGTTGGATTCCCCACTGTGCCTTTTGTGAGAAGAGCCAGCCTGTGTAGCCTTGGGCAAGCTGCACAGTCCCAGGACACCCCAGATGAAGGAAATGGTAAACCACTTCAGAGTATTCTCTACCTAGAAAACCATGAAAAATGATCACCATGTCAGAATCAACTTGATGGCATGCAATTATTATTAATTATTAGAAAATAAGCCCTACTATAATTTTTCAGGATGCTCATAATATAAACCCTATCCCCAAAATAAGTCCTAGTTAAACCTGCCCTCCACCACTGTGCAGCAACCAGAAGATGACATGACTGTATTTGAATAAACGTAGATTGTACATGAAAAAAATCAAGCATCCCTTGAAAATAAGTCCTAATATGTTTTTTTTTGGAGCAAAAATTAATATAAGACCCTGTCTTATTTCTGGGGAAACATGGTATATAAGAACATATGCAGACAGTATAATTTTTTACCTCCATAACATAGATTTAAATTAAGATTAGAAATGCTTGAGCATGATTTTAAATTGCAGTCCTATACAGAATCCCTAGTCAGTGCTGTCAGTGGCTATATTACTGTATTTTTACTTTTATAAGACAATCCGATGTATAAGATGACCCTCCCCTTTTCTATCACCAAATTTGTGAATTTGATCCCTGCTTTTCTCTTCCTTTTGCTAAGCCATGGGGCTTAGCAAAAGGAAGGGAAAAGCAGGGATCAAAGGGCTGCACAATCACTGAACCCACAAACAGCGGCGGAGGCAGCAGCAGCAGGAGGCAGAGAATGAGGCAAAGAAGCAGCCAGGCTCGGTCGCTTCTCACTGCTGCCCATTGACTTCTGCTGCTGCCACCCGATCACAAGGAGATGATCGCTGGAGGGGGCGATTGGGCGGCAGTGGCAGGAGCCAATGGGCAGCCATGAGAGGTGGCCGAGCCCGGCTGCTTCTTTGCCTCAGTCTCCGCCTCCTGCTGCTGCATTCCATGTATAAAACGACCCTCAATTTTTCTCTAATTATTTTAGGAAAACGTGTCATTTTACACATGGAAAATACGGTAGTTGAGAGACTTCTGGAAGCTGGAGTCTAGAAAAGAAAGTTTCCCAAGCTTGAACCCTGCAAACAACCCTCATTTTTTCTCTAATTATTTTAGGAAAACGTGTCGTTTTACACACGGAAAATACGGTAGTTGAGAGACTTCTGGAAGCTGGAGTCTAGAAAAGAAAGTTTCCCAAGCTTGAACCCTGCATATGTTTACTGAGACATAGTGTAATTTTCACTGTGTGGAAGGGGATTTACTTGGAAGTAACTGTCTTTAAATGTAGTCAGACTTTTCTCAGTAAATATACATAGGGCTTATTTATATAAACTCTCAGCACATCTTTGCGGTCCATCCTTACTTCCACATATGCTGTCCTAAGTTAAACAAGCTGTGTTTTGCCATAGGCTCGTACTGAAGTTAGTCTCCCTTTTCCTTCAATATGCTACCAAAAACACTTGGAAAACTACTTGGAAATCACATGGTAGCAAATTGTGGCTTATTGACAAGATGCTGGTTGTATTCCTAGATTCATGCTCAGTCATGTACTCAGTTATGTGTCCCAGAATGTAACCTGAAATAAGCCCAGAACATACTGGATTTCCATTATGGAAACATCAATTGGCACCAGAATTCTGGTCAATATTTCTGATTAGAGGTAACATTTTGACACAAGCTACTTGACTTTTGGTAGTCCTGTGAGTACTCTAGTTGTACTGTATCTTGTGGACTTCCTTACATAATGCAAGCTTCTACTTTATTCCCTTCCCCTTTTAAAACAATATCTGTACAGGATGTTGCTGACAAGGTGATTGTCTTGGATTGTTCAGAAGGTGCAGCAAAAGGAGGAACAATGGACCTAGAGATCTTTGCCCTACCAAAGATAGAAGTCAGCAGAGGTAATCTTCTGCATTAGTTTCTGGTGCATTTGTTTTTCATTGCATGATTTAACTGACTTGTTCTAGTATTTTTCACAATTGTTGGTGAGAACTGTTCCCTTTGCATGCCAATATTTTAAAGTAGATGTATAGTGAAGTTCACTGCACTTCTGAATTTGCCAGAGGGATCATGCACCAACTGTTTTATCCTGTGCTTTTTCATAGCTAACATTGGTCTTTGCTAATTAAGCATCTTTTAAATCAGCCACTCTCAAGCTTTTTTTTGGTCACGGCCATAAATAAAATATGAAAGAAATATAGGCCAGATCAGGATTCCTGAAGTTACAGAACTAAACCTTATAAGGTAGTTTGTGAAAAACTGTTTCTAGTCCATGACCCCTTTCAAATGTGCCAGGGCCACCCAAGGGGCTACGGGACCCCCATTGAGAATGGCTGCTTTAGATCAGGCTGGGCAGATACTGGTCCTCCATGAGCCATTTTCACATTTCCCCAAGCCTAGGCAGAAAACCACCTTTAAAAAAAAGCACATACATATATGGCTATTTTGGACCTAGAAAGTGGAGATGGGGAAGAAATAAAGTTTAATGGCCCATTGCTTCCCTGGAGGCTTCTGGGACTGGCTGTTGTTAGTGAAAAATTCTTTTGTGGTGGTGGCGGGAGAGGGAGAGGGAGAGAGTCAGTCCGTGTGTCCATGAAAGACAGGCACACAAGGGACACTGGCAAGTCTCATGTGGGTTGTGGGGCTGCACTTGGCCCACTCCTTCTCTAGGTACATTTCAGGTAGAATTGTGTGTCCTTCCTTAGAAAGACTGCTCTGCAGGTACCAAAATGCTTAATACTTCAGCATAGGAGTGTGTAGAGATTGTACTGAATGAAGATGTAGATGATAATATCTTGCACACATCTGTAAATCATTACAGATAAATTTTTATCTCTAAGTCTTTACATTTGTAAAGCTAAGCATATTCAGACAAAGAAACATAATGTTTACATATGTATAATATTAGAACATGCAGCACCCAAAGGTTTCACCATGCAGGATTCTTGTATGAAGTGGTCTTTAGTGAACACCTATGTCGCTTCTGTAATTGACTTTATTTTTTAAATGCAATACATATGTATAATAATAGTAAATTTATTACTGTCATATGATCTGTTCAGGTACATGTTAGCTGACTAACACATGATACAAGTAACAGCAGTGACAAGTTGTCAAGCATCTTCCAATGAATAGGCTCTTATTATTATTACAGCAAGAAGAAAGTTAGTAATTATAAAGATTCTGGTTTGACAAGCAATAGATAACTAACCACTTATCAGAGTAGCCTTGGAATTTTTGCAAGAGGGGACAAATTGAATCATTCTTTTCTTGCTCATAGAACTTACAGTACAGAAGGGCATGAGACAAAAATTCAGGAGTCCCAGCCATGCACACACAACATCTTTCTTGATGGAGAATTCCTAAAAATGTATCATGGAGAAATGCTGAGGAATAGAACATTGAATCTAACAAGCATAAATGCTCTACAAGCCTAGGGTGATCTAAGAGTTGTTAAATAGGCTGAGATGACCCATATATTACATGTGTGATAAAACTCAACAATATCTGTTGACCATCAGAACAGACACAGTCGGTGGAATAGATTTCTTCCCCACCCCTTTAGCCAGTCATGAACCCCCCACAATTTTGCTTCAGAGAATTCCAGCAATTCTCTATGGGATACAGCAGAAGAAGAGCAATGACTTCCATTTCAGAACTAGAAGTTTGTTAGGAGAACATTTGATGTCTCCCTCAGCCCTTTGTATCCTGGCCACTATTTCTGCTGCACAACTAAGCCATCATTTTTCTGTTAAAGAAAAAGTAGAGACATAAAATCCATGTTCAATACATTGTGACACTTATTAAAGCAAAGCAAAGCTTCCATTGAAGTCTCGATATTTGCCAAAATAACATAACGTCCTTTCTTTGTTTCCTAGATTTTTCTGCCACTGCAAACTCAAAATTGGTGGTGCTTACCATTAATTCTTTAGGCAATGCTCAGTCGTACCTAGATGTTGTACAAAGCAATGTAGAACTGTTCAGAGGTATAATTCCATCAATAGCACATTACAGTCAAAATAGTGTACTGCTTGTAGCTTCGCAACCAGGTATGGCAATTCTTATCTTTTTAATTTATTGTTCCCTAGATAATGTTTTTTTGTAATTAATTTTCCCTTACTAAGTAGGTGTATGGTCGTTAATGGAAATGATAATGTGTGCCCTTTTGTCATAATCCTCGACTACAAGACTGCAATTCTCAAGATTAGATCAAAAATTTAGACTGCTAAATGGGGGCAGTTACAGAGAGAATATAACTCACATTACAACAGCTTCACTGTTTACTCTTCTGACTCTAGGAACAATACAGTGCTATGATCTTTAAAGCTGTATACTTGGATCCAGAGTCCAGACTATTTGAAAGATTATATCCCCCTTTATAAGCCTGCCTGCTTAGAAAGACCTGCAGAAGAGAACTTTCTCTTGGTTCCACCAGCTTTAGAGACTTCCTTGGCAAGGAGGGCTTGTTCAGTAGCTGCTTCCAGATTGTGGAATTCTCTGCCTAAGGAGGCTGGGTTGGCTACCTCTCTAATGTCCTTCCCATAGCACACAAAATATTGTTTAGGCAGGTCTTTGGCAGCTAACTGATTGCTAAGAACAGAGTTTTGAAGAAGGTGCTGCATTGTTTTGTAATCTGAGTGATTTTTAAAAGGCTTGAAACTGTGTTCTGTTTTTCAATACTAAAAATGATTTAATGATGTTTAATATTTATCCTGTATTTTTTAAAACTGTAAGTTCTCTTTGGTCCCAATGTTTGGAGAAAGGTAGCATGTAAAATAGATGAAACTATGAAATAAATGAAGTCCCTTATTTGAAACTTCCATGGGTTATGTGTATTTTGACATATGTAAAAACCTAAGCCAGAATTCTGTCGAAAACTGTGTGTACAACAGTAATCATTTAAACACTTTGCACATTCTGGAAAGATGTACTGTATGTTGCACAACTGGTCACACACTGGTTGCAAAATTGGTAACAGAACGCCCACTCTGCCAAAGGTGTGTGCACACCTTTCCCCTCTCCCAACAGGAGTCTGGCCCTAGTATTTTGACATCTTCTTTTAGACAAGGGTTGGACATTTTAAAAAACCCTATTCATTCCTGATTCCAAATATTTGTGTGAAACATCAGTTGCATGATCTTTAACACTCTAGTGAAAAGTCCAGTAGAAATTAGTAGGTGTATCCATTGACATTCATCTATTTGACATTAGCTAAGGCAAAAACAAAGCATGACCTATAAAACCTTATACAGTTTGGGTCTCAGCTATCTGATGATTCTTATCTACTCATCTGAGCCAACCTGAGTTTTAGATCTGTTGTGGGCAACTTTCCTCTGAGTCCTCCTATCTTCAAAAGCATCTTTGGTGAGGACACAAGAGAGGACAGTTTCAGTGGCTGCTTTACACACAGTTTTAAATATGTTTTACTTATTTCTTTATTTAAAATATTTTTACCCCACCTTTCTCCTAAAAAGGAGCCAAGGCGGCTTACAACAATTAAAAGACATTTAAAAGCTAAAAACAGTAAGTATACAAATATTTAAAAAGAATTAAACAAGTGTTATATTAAAAATGGGCAATAAAATCAATACTAAAAACACATTTAAAAACCACAGGGCACAACAATCCATTCCAAAAGAAAACCGTCTCAGACTCACTAAGGAAAAGCTTGCCTGAAGAGAAAAGTCTTCTTCATCTGTTTGCAGAAGGACAGCAAAGATGGAGCTAATCTGGCCTCCCGTGGGAGGGAATCCCAAAGTCTGGGAGCAGCAACAGGGAAGGCCCTCTCCTGTGTCCCCATCAGATGCACCCGTGAAGGTGGTGGGACTGAGAGAAAGGCCTCCCCTGATTGCCTTAATTCCTGGACAGGCTTATAGAGGGAGATGCAGTCTTTCAGATCACTTGGAGCCAAGCTGTTTAGGGATATATAGATTAAAATCATCACTTTGAATTGTGCCCGGAAACAAATTGGCAGCCAGTGGAGCTGCTGTAACAAGGGGGGGGGTCATGTGATCCCAGTAACCAGTCCCAGTTAGCAATTTGGCTGTGACATTTTAGACCTCAAAGACACCCCCCCCCATAGAGTGTGTTACAGTAATCCAGCCAAGATGAAACTACTAGGGCAGGTGGCAGATTGGACTTCTCAAGAAACTGGCACAGCTAGTTTTAACTGTACCAAGGCACTCCTGGCCATGGCTGAAACCTGGGCATCCAAGCTCAGAGATGAATGCAGGGGCACCCACATGCTGTGGATTTCAAACTGTTTACTACTAGTCTTTCCAGATTTTTAAAAATCTAATTTTTTTTTGCATGCATTTCTAATCCATTTGTGGGGACGTGGTGGCGCTGCGGGCTAAACCGCAGAAGCCTGTGCTGCAGGGTCAGAAGACCAAGCAGTCGTAAGATCGAATCCACGCGATGGAGTGAGCTCCCGTCGCTTGTCCCAGCTCCTGCCAACCTAGCGGTTCGAAAGCATGGACTTCTCAAGAAACTGGCACAGCTAGTTTTAACTGTACCAAGGCACTCCTGGCCATGGCTGAAACCTGGGCATCCAAGCTCAGAGATGAATGCAGGGGCACCCACATGCTGTGGATTTCAAACTGTTTACTACCAGTCTTTCAGATTTTTAAAAATCTAATTGGGGTTTTTTTTTTTGCATGCATTTCTAATCCATTTGTGAGTTGCCTTTGATACTTCAACTAGAACAAAGGCGGCTTAGGTGGACTGGACTGGAATGGAATAGAGTAGAATATTGCACCAGTTCTCTCACTGTAGGAGGAAGCCATTCTTAATGCTGCAATGAAATGAAAACAGTAAAATGATAATAAGCAAAAGCAAAATGTGATTTTGTTATCTCTGTTCTATGGGATGGGTGAATATGGTCCTTTTGAAACATAAAATGGTGTAAGAGATATTTTGAAAATAACCTACTGACAAATCCTTAACGTTATTTGTTGGAGATTTTATTCTTATCATTGAATGAATATAATTGCTGGGGTCCAGTTTTTTATACTTGCTAAAATGTAAAGTCAATATTTTTAGTAGATTGTGAACATCCATGTTGCATTGAAGTAATAAGAAAATGTTTTGTGCCTTTTTGATGTTTGTTGACTGTACAGTGGAAATAATGACATACGTGTCCTGGAAGATGAGTGGGTTTCCTAGGAGCAGAGTTATTGGTATTGGCTGTAACCTAGACTCTGCAAGATTCCAATATATTGTTTCAAACATAATGAAAGCCCAAACCAAAGGCAAAGTTAATTGGATTATTGGTGAACAAGGGGAAAATAAAGGTAAAATTCTAACTGTTTATGTGATTCAGAACTCAGCATTTTAGATCTGCTCAGAATTATGTGTGAAAACGTAATTTGGTCGTTACTGCCTTTTCTGAGAAAGCACTTTAAACCTTTTACTCACTTTATAGAAGTATTTAAAATGCAGACCTACTATAAACCAGGTGTGAGTGACTCTCTAGATCAGTGATGGCGAACCTATGGCACGCGTGCCACATCTGGCACGCAAAGGCCTTTCTTCTGGCACACGAATGAGTGGTTCACCCACCCATCCTTGTGGAAACAAACCTTTTGAAGTGGCTGCAGCTGGGATTCCTCCTTTCTCTTCCTGTTCTGGGTCCTTTAACTTCCTGTCTGTCCCCACGATTCCCCCTTTAATTTCCTATCCGTCCCCATGATTCCCCCTGAAACTGCCACTTCCTGTTCTGGTTCTGGTCTTCTCGGCGGCACGGCAGCCACTGGTTTCTTCCCCACCCCCTCATTTTGGGCACTTGAGCTGAAAAAGATTTGCCTCCACTGCTCTAGATGATGTTGGGATACAAGTATCCGGGCCCCTAACCATTAGTTATACTGGCTATGGAGAGAGGACCTATCATCCACTAATATCTGGAGTGGCAGAATTTCCTGGTACTGTGTATAACTTCTGTAATTTGCTTGATAAATAGCTAAGAGGAGAATAATGAAATTCCTAAAGGGAATAATGAAATTCTATCTGCTGTGCCACATTACTCTGTTACTTATTTTGCGGTTCTGGTCTGCACTGTCTTTACAATACATTTGGTTTGTTATTGTTATTGTGTCTAGAAGCAGGAAAGCCACCTACTATGATCTCATGTAAATCTGTTATGTTACTGGGTCATCTCAACAGGATGCACTCTTATTTTAAGAGAAAAATGTTGTGAACTGAAGTCAGAAAGGAGAAAGCTAATTCCTGGATTTTTTTGTAACACAGAATATACTTTTAAGAATTGGAAAAATAGAAACATTTATCTATAGAATCCTACAACTGTTTATAAAGTTATTTAATGTAAAAGCACATACTCTGAAGAGAAGTTCTTATTAAAATAAAACTTTAAATACCTGAAGCATAATTTATTGTTATCATTTCATTTAGTGACAGCTTGTAGCAGCTCTAATTCAGCGGGAGAATATCAGAGTGAAGATTTAACAGATGATAATGCTGATCATCTGTTGGCCAACAGGTAAAATACCTACAGTATGATGTTGTACATGCCAATTCAGAAGTGTGCCCTTCTGATTTTAGTCATGCCTGCTCCAAGGTAAGTAGGTAGTCTAAACATGCATTTTTATTTAGTTCTGAATAACAGAGCAGTCTTACGTTTTTGTAGGTAGAACATTTGAAAGACACTTTTTGATAAGTTCAGGTATATCAAGGTGTGTTTGATTGTTTCCAAGGGCCATGTTGTTTGAGGGAGACCACATTTTAAATGCTAAATTTATTTGTTTTTTGTTCTTTTGTTCTTTGTTTTTATGTAGAGCCCTAGAAGTTCTAAAAGGCAAAGGTCAAAGATCCTGGTCTGTGGGCTTGTCGGTAGCTGACCTGGCTGACAGTATACTGAACGATAAAAGAAAAGTGCATTCCATATCAACTATGGTAAAGGTAAGTATGACAGTAAAGCACAAGGAACTGGAGAAATCCAGTTAAATCAAGTATGCAAGGAGAGCGACTTTCAAGATGTAAAAAGATTTAGTTTTACCCATTAAAACAGCCCAATGTCTTTTGCCCAATAGATTAATTTTGGCCTTCTTCAGGGGCTATGAAGGAAAAAAGAGAGTCAATACAACCATGTTACACTTAAATATAAAGGTACATTTATTCCTGTAACAGCCGTCTTCAGAATGTCTTATACCTAGAGGTAAAATATCATCACCAATAGATATTTGAGATAATCTGTTTCCAAGTTTCACTGAGTGAAAAACTGTAATGCACTGAGAGGGAAAAATATAATATTTATATTTCCCACCCTCTTTTGCAACATTTTTATACAGGTGGAAGAAAACATCCAGGGCTAAGGTGCATATAGATAAATATATAAACAATATATGAAGTAGAACATTCCTTTGGACAACTATTTTGTCCACTCCACCACTCCTTGAAAGACTTATGTTTTCATGCGACAGATTTAATCCATAAAGTAGTAAAATTTTATTGAAAATTGAAATGGGCTAGCTATTAAGATTAGAAATACTGGCTCCTGAGGTTTAAATACATTTCATTATTATTTATTTATTAGTTATTTCAACTTACATACCATCCCAAATGGTATATAAGGATGAAGAACTGGAGTTTCTCCCATTCTCTTGAGGCCTTACTATTTGCATACACCTCTTGCATTGTCTGAGTCCTTGTATCTTGAGATGGTATAGTATGCCCCTGAAATTACCTGCTAAAGCCTAAATCAGATATTTCACTGGCTTTGTGGCACCAACACAGTTGAAACCTTATCCTTTCTCCATTCCAGCAGCCCTGAGAATTCTGGGTGACATAATACCCCTGCCACAGAATATATTTTTCTCAGTTCTTCTCTCAAGTATGCATAGTACTATCTCCTCAAGTACCTCAGGTTTTGACACAAAGGAAAAGATGACTGAGTCTATGCCCCATATGAGTGAAAATATCAAATACTTTTGTATATGCAATAATATGCTTTCTGTATATGATGTTTTCCCATTTTAGGGCCACTACAATATAAACTGTGAAGTATTTTTGAGTATGCCTTGTGTACTTGGAATCAATGGAGTGACTGAAATGATCAATCTATCCGCTGAGAGTGCAGTAACAGAAAAGCTACAGTCAAGTGCTGCCTCAATTCATGATCTTCAACAGCAGTTGAAACTTTGATTACCATGGAGCATAGCTTCTGCCACAAAATAGTGTCCTTTTTCAATATATTTTGCAATATATCAAATATTTTATTACTTGGCTGCTGACCTGCCTGCCTGCTGAAAAAATACTACACAACATGGAAGCTGTATCTTCATTTCAGTGTATTTAATGGTAAGCAAAAGTCAAGAACCTCTCTGTGAAGGAAACCCTTACAACAAAAATAATTACATAGGATGGAAATATTTAAATGGAGTATGAAAATGTAGTGTATTTTGATAGGATACCAGCACAAAAAATTATTCTAGTTTCATATCCTATATTCAGTTGTACATTTTTGCTATATTTTATACTCTAATTTTGTACTCTTGTCTTGCCTGTAAAAGGAGTTTCCGTAGCACAAGAAATGTGTGCCTATTTCTCCTCCTGAGAAATAAAGGTTCTTTCACTACATGACTTTATTAGCTTCTCAAAATCTCTCTCCATCAAAATGAGTTCTAATGAGAGGTTTTCCGTCTACCAGGGTTGTTGTACCATTGTAAAAGATGTGCCATTGCTACCTGTAACTGCTGCAGAGAACTGGTCATGGATGTATATGACACATTTCTAATTTCCAAAGATGGAAATTACTAAGAGCAAGACATTATCTAAAATCACAGTTCATAATTCAGCTGGTACTAATTTGTTATTGCTTTTTGAAAGTTTATACCAGCCAATCATTAGGATTTGGAAATGCTATGGCACCAAATTAATTGAAGTTTGAGTCTGGGGTGATATCAGACATAAAGTCTGTGTTGCCTTAACCTAGCTGAAAATATTTCTAGGGTCACTTTCTGTAACTGTTCCAATCAGGGAGATGGGAATATATAAGAGAAAGCTATGGTTATTTCCAAAGAAGATATATAAAATGTACATATATACCTCATGATTAGTTGTTTTGTTCAAGAAATCATAGCCAGAACCCAAATGACATTGTGTTTTGTGCATGCATAAGGCTGTTTGTCTCCACCTCCTGCTATAGTCCGTCATGTCTCTAAAAAGCCATCCTGAATCCTTAGGGAAATCACACACATATACATTAGTATTATCAGCTCCCACAGAAGGATTACTAGATCCTGGTCAGTACTTATAAATTGAGTATGTGGGTACAGTACTGTGCATGGAAAGACAGTAAGAATATATTAAGGCATATGTATACATAACCACCTTGGAATAACTGCCTCTTCATCAATGTGAGCTTTCTTGAACATCAAAATTCTTTTCTCATGCTTCAAAATACTGTACGTGAAGAGAAAATTGTATTACTATTAAGTAATTAGCCAAAATCAAATAAATGAAAGATCTAAAGTTTATTCAGAAAGAAATACAATCATTTTAATCTAGTATAAACGAATAATATGTGTTTTATCATTTGTTAATGTAGAACTGGACAGGGGACAGATTATATTTGTCTTCAGTGTGGAAGGGAGTGTCACTCTCGAATTGGCCTTCTCAGCCACACTAGATGCTGTTCCAAGTCCTCCATACAGAGCTCGTTACCATAGTCTCTCGAGACTGAAGGATGCCTAATCTAAATATAGAGTAAGACCAATCCCTTATGACAAGATGGAAAAAAAAACAATGCACTGGTTCATGTATTGCACTGATATGTTTTAGATTGAACATTTGGTTCATCAGTTCTACATCACAGCAAGCCTTAACACTATTAAAGATTTACCAATATGAATATATATTTGTACCCATGAATGATTGCAATAAAATCTTCCTTTTCATTTTATATTATATATGTAACCAAGTATTGCATTAAATTTGTTTTAAAAACTGAAAGAATTAGATAATAAAGTAGATCTGTTCCTTAATATTTCTGGATACCCTTTTCAGAGGTGAATAATTACAAGATGCTATACACTATAATATAGTATTTTGGTCATGCCAGTTGAGGTGTAGAGTTCGGTTTAGTTTAGTATGAGCACTGCAGAGCTGGCTTCTGCACCGTGAAGAGGACGGTCCACCTGCAGATGCCCTTGCTTAATGGCTGACTATCATCATGGCTGCCCCACTTCTAGTGTGGTAAAATCAGGGCAATTTGGACATCCTACACCTCATGCTCTCAACCTGCCCCCCAAGAGCACTGGAACCAGTGCTGGATTTACACACATGCTAAATGAGAGCTAGTTTAAGATCTCAGGTTATTTTTGTCATTATGTGCCGTCAAGTTGTTTCTCATTTACAGGGATCCTAATAGGATTTTGAGGTAATTGAGATATTTAAGGAATGATTTACCATTTGTATATCCCAGTGAGTTTCAATGGCCAAGTGGTGATTTGAACCCAGGGATCCTGAGCCCTTGTTTGACATTTCATCCAATAACACTTGGGCTTCTCTCAAATTACTAGAGGCCTCAAAATACAAATAAAAAAAACCCCTAACATCTGAGTTGTATTACTGTATTATACTCCCTCCCAATAGTGACAATAGGATGGAAGGATAGGGAAAAATGACTAGCACTATCATCTGCCCTGACAAGCATAAGTTTAAGGAGGTATAGCACTACCAGCTCAAACCTTTCTCTCCTAGTACCACAGATGTACAGTATTCTTGTATTCGTGAAGGCTCTCACGGCCAGGATCTAATGGTTGTTGTGGGTTTTTCGGGCTCTTTGGCCGTGTTCTGAAGGTTGTTCTTCCTAACATTTCGCCAGTCTCTGTGGCCGGCATCCCTGGGAAAGTGGCCAAACAGGCCTGTAAAAGGACCATTCACGTGGTTTTTGGTTTGGTTTTTTCGGGCTCTTTGGTCGTGTTCTAAAGGTTGTTCTTCTTAACATTTCGCCAGTCTCTGTGGCCATGGGCCTCTTCAGAGGACAGCACTCTGTGCTCTGGTGTAGTTGGCTTGGGAGTGCTGTCCTCTGAAGATGCTGGCCACAGAGACTGGCGAAACGTTAGGAAGAACAACCTTCAGACCACGGCCAAAGAGCCCGAAAAACCCACAAGAACCAATACAGTATTCTGTTAAATAATTCAAATTATGGCAAAACAAAAGTAGAGATACTGTAGCTGTGTTGCCACAAATATATATATATATAATACATATAAGGATACTACTATTGCTGTGTCACTTCTGAATTATGGCAACCCTTTGATTTAATTACCTTGAAAAAGTCCTTTTGTTAATTGTCCTGTTCAGCGCTAAAGGGTGTGGCTCTATCTCATATTTTGTATTTTCTTACTGCCTTCAACTCAACCCAGCATTTTTGTCTTCTTCACTGAGTCTTGTTTTATTATAATATGCCTTGGTATGAGGGCAGCTACATTGACCAATAGTGCAGTTAATGCTGTGGGGATTGGGATGATCTGATTTGTATTTTGTTTGTTATGTTGACTACCTAATGTACTGGTAAATACAAGTCAGTCTAGACACCCCTCCCCAATACTGTTCTTCTCCACCACTGGGACTTCTACTTTTCTATCCCAGTTGAATGCATTCACATCCGTTTAAGTACTGTGACTGCTTGAGCCAATACAAGGCTGAATGAGCAATCAGAAGCTGGCTACCAGCTCAAACTGGTAGCTTCCTAGTTCAAGGTCTAGAGAGAGGAAGGAAGGGGGGGGGTTTCAGTTCCCCTGAACCAAACACACCTCTCCATACCACTTTTTAAAAAGGGCTTAGAGCAAGTGCTAGTGCACTAGGGCAACTGGAGACCAAAAGGAAGAACAGAGTAAAGAATCAGCAGAGAGTGAGGAGGACATTACAGTACTAGTAGGCAGCTTAAAGTAGTTGTGATGTAGCCATGCCTCTTGCAGATCTGGTTAGCAACTGCAGGGCTACTTTAACAAGCTGTGAACAAGGCAAATTGTCAATTTTCTCTCCCACCTGACTCTGTGGTTGGCTGAAGCAAACTTACCTGAGTGAAGCTGACCTCTCAGATGTTACTTCACAGCAGATCTATTGCATTATTCCTGCTTTGTGTTGTTGTTTAGTCGTTAAGTCGTGTCCAACTCTTCATGACCCCATGGACCAGAGCATGCCCTGTCTTCCACTGCCTCCTTGCCTCCCGGAGTTTGGTCAAATTCATGCTGGTAGCTTCGGTGACACTGTCCAACCATCTTGTCCTGCTTTGTAGCCACACTCTAAGATAGCCTCTGGTTGGCCATTTTAGCTTCTAGGGGAAGTTCAGGCTTGCTATTAGAACTCCTTTAGATTCTCCAACACCACCTTTCAAACACCTTGTGTTTTTTTCTGTCAGTTTTCTTCATTGTGTAGCTTTCGCATTTGTATCTAATAATTGGGAGTGGAACATCTTGGACCCCAGTTGCAAGTCCTTAACATCACCAAAGAAGTAGCTGTGTTAGCCTATCTCAGCATATTGGTAAAAGGGGAGGGGGGGAAGAGAAAGGCAAACTACTGCAACACTAAAGACAGAGGCTGAAATCTTGTTGCTTTGCATAGTAGGTCACAACTTGAGGAGGCCCTTTCAATCAGTGGAGATTTGGTGAGTCAATGCCTCTATGAGTTCTGTTGATTCAATGGGTTTTTTCTAGTTGCAATTTACTATGCCAAGCAATATGTGGTGTTGGAGGAGGCTCTTGAGAGTCCCCTGGACTGCAAGGAGAACAAACCTATCCATTTTGAAGGAAATCAACCCTGAGTGCTTACTGGAAGGACAGATACTGAAGCTGAGGCTCCAATACTTTGGCCATCTCATGAGAAGAGAAGACTCCCTGGAAAAGACCCTGATGTTGGGAAAGTGTGAAGGAACGAGGAGAAGGGGATGACCGAGGATGAGATGGTTGGACAGTGTCATCAAAGTGACCAACATGAATTTGACCCAACTCTGGGAGGCAGTGGAAAACAGGAGGGCCTGGCTTGCTCTGGTCCTTGGGGTCATGAAGAGTTGGTCACGACTAAACAACAATGCCAAGCAACAAGATTTCAGTCAGATGTATTTCTGTGTGAGTTTTCATGGATCAAAATCCATTTCTTCAGATACAAGGAGCACAAATACATGTCCTTTATATTCATCTGCAAGGTGGTGAGAGTCAGATCCATGGTATTGACACAGCTCTTGAAGACCACTTTTCTATTGAATTGCTATTAGTTACACTCAGAAATCTTTTTCAGGTCCTTCATAAATGTTAAAGTTTTCTTTTTCAGTATAGAAAGTAGACTTAACAGTGACAACTAATAAAATAAATGGGCGTTTTCACCGCTTACAGACAGGCTAATCACGTTAGGCATCTTTATTTCATATTACAGGAGAAAAAAATGGATTTAAGTGTAGCCTATGATTGGGAAATATCACGCTCTCCCCAACAAAAGTAAGACATTGTGGCACAAGACAGCCCTGCGGTTATAAATAGACCAGTATTCTTGTGAGTACTTCAGACCGTCCAGTAATGTACTGACCCGATTTACTGCTAATATTGCAGGGTACGTGGAAATGGGTGAAGTTGAGATATATTTATGACAAACTTGAAGCTTAGGTCCGAGTTAGGATTGTTATTCATTTAGGAACAATCAATACCTTTTCCTACACCCTCCGGAGGAGGTGTCCGAGCTTTAAAATGCTGCACTTATAAATAACCAAGACACGAGCAACTCTTCCCCCCGCCCCCGTTTTTTCACCAAGCGACCAACCCCCAAAAGCAGAATCGTACAGAAAGTCAGCCTGGCCTTACATTGTTCCCTTAATAACCTCATAGAAGGAGTTTATTTGAATAAAGACATTTTCAGTCCTCCAACGACTCTCAACCGGACCAAACGAGAGACAGCGGGGCCTCCGTCGTAACCCCTCCTTATCCTGCGTTCTCGAGTCTATGGTCCTCTCGAGGGCGCGGCGGCGTTGGAACGCCGGAAGTGACGTCAGCCGTGCCGCCGAACGGAAACGGGTGGAAGGAACTCTCGGAAGCGAGGTTGGGGGAGGTGGCGGGGGTTGCTGCTGAGGGGAGGTGGAGCGGGATTGCGAGCGGCCGGGTGTGAAGCGGCGACGACGACTACTACCAACACCGCCAGCGGCGGGAAGAAGCTACCGCCACTATGGCCGTGTCGGAGAGTCAGCTGAAGAAAATGCTGAGCAAGGTAAGGCGAGCCCGGTGAGCGCCTCCCGGCGGACTTTTGTTCCAAGGCAGCCTTGGTTCTCCACACAACACTCCTTCCCTCGACGGCCGTCCGGGATCGCGGGCTTGGGCCTTCCGCCTAAGCTTCTCTTGCTTAGTACCGGGGAGGCGGCTGAACCTCCTGACTTTCCTGGCTTCGTTGTGCCTTTTCGTTTCGTCTGCTGGGCCAGGTCTTTGCCGCCTCCTGTGTCGGAAACGGAAGAAATGAGGCGGAATGTCTTACTTTTCTAATGGCGAGTGAAAAAAACAAAAACAAAAAACACTGTAGCCATGAATGGCTCAGGGGCCACTCAAAAAAAGAAGGGCGGTACAGTTGGACACCCGTCTGACCATTTCCCAGCCACAACGTTAGTGATTTCTTAAGGTTTCTATTATTGTTATCTATCCATTGCTTTTTTTATTGTTTCCAGATTTAGGTCATCCTTTTTTTACCCTTGTAATTTTCCGCCCCACACACATACTTCCTGTTAGGGACAAATCAAAACATTTACAGTGACTTCAAATTAATCAGCAGTTAGGTGCAACAGAACCTTGGCCTCAAAAGCAGTCCAAGGATTTGAAGTTCTATGTAAGAATCAGTAAACAGATCTAGTGTTCCAAACATTTAAAGATGTATATGTTATTAATGACTAGGGTTATTGAATATACAAAAAAATTTAACACTGAACACTTAATTTGGAAGTTACAAACATGACACTAATAAATGTTAAAGCAAATGTTCATTATCTGTTTGCAGGGAAAATGATGATATTCTGCAGCATATTGTTATACATATTATTTGTAGAGATGGGTACATACCGAACTGCAAACCAGTAAAAAATGTTTAACTGGGCTAGCTCGCAGCTCAGTTCATGTCCTGGTTCGGGGATCCCATTTTACCAAAGCAGAACAATGCACTGAACATTTTCCTCCTCAGAGCTTTGCTTTGTTTCAGAAAAATGGGATACCTGCCTGCACCCTTCCCGCTGCCCCCATTGCCTCCCTTCTCCTGCCACCATCTCCTCTTACTCCTCCACTGCCATCCTCAGAGGTAGCAGGCCTGGCTTCTATACTGCCTTTGCTGATTAATTTGAAGTCACCTATCAGCAACGGCTTAGCAAGTGGATGGGGGAAAGAGAGCTGAGCGATCATGCAGCCCCGGGATTGCTTTGATTCCTTTCCCCCTACTTTTGCTAAGCCCCAGTTGCACGATTGCTTTAATCTCTTTCCCCCTCTACAATAAACTTTGTGACTGTACAACAAACTTGGTGATTTTTCTGTGTGTAAGACCCCCCTTTCCTAACCCAAAATTAAGAAATCTAAGCAGGTCTTAGCAAGTGGAGGAGGAAAGGGATGAAAGCAATACCACAGTTGCATGAGGGGGAAAGAAATCAAATTTATTTATTTTATTTATTTTTCCAATGAATCTACTCTGGGCGGCTCACTGTTCGAGTATATAACAAAAATTAAAACAACAATATCAATAACATAGAGATAGGCAAAGCCCAAGATCGTAAGACATAAAAACTAAGAAATAGAAGGCTGGGACGGCCTGCCTGAAGAGCGAAGTCTTCAGCTTGTTCTTAACAACTGCCAGCGAGGGTGCCAGGCAAATCTCCAGAGGCGAGGGGCCACTGCCTAGCACAGTTCAAGTATATAACAAAAATTAAAACAACAATATCAATAACATAGAGATAGGCAAAGCCCAAGATCGTAAGACATAAAAACTAAGAAATAGAAGGCTGGGACGGCCTGCCTGAAGAGCGAAGTCTTCAGCTTGTTCTTAACAACTGCCAGCGAGGGTGCCAGGCAAATCTCCAGAGGCGAGGGGCCACTGCCTAGAAGGCCCAGTTTCTAGTTCTCTCCTTCTGGGCCTCTCTCGGGGGTCAATACCCTCAGCCACCCAGCCTAGCTAGATCAAGTGACAGTAGAGGTAGGTGGGAGCAGGCACTTTGCCAGGTATTGAGGTCCTAAACTGTTTAGGCCTTTATATGTAAGCCTTAATACCTTGAGGAAAAGGCAGCCCATCTAGGAGAAGGAAAATTTTGATTTCAAACCTCCACTGCCTTTTGGCTATATCCACTGAGGGAAAAGGCTTCAGGAGTGAATCTCGAGGCAAAATCCAGAGCAGTAGTCCCGGAGGCAGCTTGTGACTGTGCACAGTCACGCTCTGTCAACTCCTGCGACATTGCTGGAACCACTTGTATTGGCTCTTGCCTTTCTATTGGACTACTTCAGTGATGTGAAGAGGGGGGATTTCTGCTTGGGTAACAGTCCTCCATATTATTTTATGTAGGCTTTGTGCTCTGGAGAGGACACTCCAGCTTCGCACACAACATCGAAACAACACGGGAAATAGCAGTTATCAGTTATAAGTCTTTGCTCGATTGGCGTAGAGCATGATGCCAGGGGCTGCTTCCGATAGTGGGAGAGGTCATTGCACCTCACTAGGTAGCTACCGCCCGCCTTAAGCTGGGCAGCCCCCAGCCTTGCCATGGCCTTTTAACCTCATGAGGTGAGTGGGGTTTAGGGTGAAAGCCAACAAGGAGATTGATAACCCTGCACCATGCAACAATCGTATGAAAACTTCTGCCCTAAAGTTGGACACCTGGAATGTTCGGACAATGACCCCTGGTTTTCTGACAATCTTCAGGAAATAGATGTGTGCAAGACAGCTGTTGTCGACATTCAGGAAATAGAAGATGTGTGCAAGACAGCTGTTGTCGACATGGACTGCAGTAGGCTGCAGATGGACATTGTTGCCCCGCAAGAGACAAGATTGCCAGACTCGGGATCTGTCAAAAATAAATAAATATTCTCATTCTTCTGGCAGGGAAAACCATTGAATGAGACCAGGGAATATGGTGTTGGCTTTGCGGTTACAAATACTCTGCTGAGATCCATTGTTCCACCTACTGCGGGGAGTGGAACACTCCTGTCTCTGCAGCTCCATTCATCAGCAGGACTGGTCACCCTCATTAGTGCATATGCAGAAGCCAAAGACAAATTCTATGATGATCTGACAGGTACTGTCAAAAAAGAAAATCCCCGAGAGAGTCACTGTTTATTCTTGGATTCTTTAATGCTAGAGTTGGTGCTGATCACAGTTCTTGGCCCACTTGTCTAGGCTGCTTTGGCATTGGGAATATGAATGGAAATGGCTAATGCTTGCTGGAGTTTTGCTGTTATTATGGTCTTTGTGTCAGCAACACGTTCTTTAATATGAAGCTTCAACACAGACTCTCTTGGAGACATCCAAGATTGAAACATTGGCATCAGCTTGATTTGATACTCACTAGATGCTCTAGCCTTCCTTGTATTACGATCACAGGCAGTTTTCAGGGATGCTGATTGTGATACTGATGACTCCCTGGTGTGTAGCAAAGTAAAACTGTGAATAAAGAGATTGTTTCACACAAAAAAGGATGGAAGACCACTTATTGACATCAGCAAGACTCGCAATCAGAGAAAAGTGGTAGAATTTGCTCAAGTGCTTGAGGAAATAATTCTAGGCCCAGCTGGTGCAAATGCACCTGAACGATGGGAACATTTCAAGTATGCTGTTTATACCACTGCCTTCTCCCCATTTTGCACGAAGACCAAAAAGACGGCAGACTGGTTTGAAGCCCATTCAGAGGAGATGATGCCAGCCATGGAGGAAAAGAGGAGAGCTCTAGCAGCATATCCTAGTGAGTACAACTTGCAGTTTCTTCGAGTTGCTCGTAGCAAAGTCCAACAGACTGTCAGGAGATGGTCTAACCATTATTGGCTTCAGCTCTGCTCTCAGATACAGATAGCAGCGGACACAGGTAACATCAAGGGAATGTATGATGGTATCAAGCAGGCTTTAGATTCAATACAGAAGGAATCTCCTCCTTTGAAGACTGCTACAGGCGTGATCATCCAGGACTGAGCACAGCAGATGGAACACTGGGTGCAGCACTACTCTGAGCTATAGTCTAGAGAGAATGTAGTAACCGAAGAGGCATTAAATAACATCGAGTGCCTGCCTGTCTTGGAACAGTTGGACAGCAAACCAACTTTAGCAGAAATAAAAACGATTTTGGATTCCCTCGCTTCTGGCAAGGCACATGGGAAGGGTAACATCCCTGTTGAAGTGCTGTAAAGAGACCATCACCACTGAGCTGTATGAAATCTTTTGTCTTTGCTAGAGGGAAGGTGGACTACCACAGGACATGAAGGATGCAAACATTGTCACATTGCACAAGAACAAAGGTGATGGGGTGACTGCAGTAACTACCATGGCATCTCTCTTCTCAATGTTGTAGGGAAGCTGCTTGCCCGTGTTGTGCTGAAGAGGCTCCAGGTGTTTGCATACAGAGTCTATCCAGAATCACAGTGTGGATTTCGAGCTAATAGATCCACCATTGACATGGTATTTTCCCTCAGACGGTTGCAGGAGAAATGTAGGGAACTACAACAGCCACTCTTTGTGGCCTTCATAGATCTTACAAAGGCCTTTGATTTGGTTAGCAGGGACAGTGTTTTTAAAATACTTCCCAGGATTGGATGTCCACCTCGACTCCTTAAAATCATCAGGTCCTTTCCTGAGGAAATGAAGGGCACTCTAGTTTTTGATGGCTCAAAATCAGATCCCTTTGTCATCCGAAGCAGAGTGAAACAGGGCTGTGTCCTCACGCTGACTTTGTTTGGGATCTTTTTTGCTGTCATGCTGAAGCACGCTTTTTGAAGTGCAACAGAAGGTGTTGATCTCCAGACTAGATTGGATAGATAGGTCTTTAATCTCTCTGGATTGAGAGTGAAGACCAAAGTCCAGCTGAAATAAATGAGGGAGTTCGTCTTTGCCAATGATGCAGCTGTTGTTGCCCATTTTGGTGAAGAGCTGCAAAAACTCATGAATCATTTCAGTAAGGGCTGCCAAGATTTTGGATAAACAATCAGCCTGAAGAAAACATAAATTATGGGCCAGGGTGTAGACTCGCCTCCCTCTATTGCCATCTCTACACAAGAATTGGAGGTTGTTCATGATTTCATGTACCTTGGCTCAACGATCTCTGACGCCCTCTCTCTAGATGTTGAGCTGGATAAACGCATTGGCAAAGGAGATACCATGTTCTCTAGAGTCACAGAGTATGGCTTAATAAGAAGCTGACGCATATGCCAAGATCCAGGTCTATAGAGCCTGTGTCCTGAGTACACTCGTGTACTGCAGTGATTCCTGGACCCTTTGTGCATGGGAGGAGAGGAAGCTGAACATCTTCCATATGTGTTGTCTCCGATGCATTTTTGGTATCACCTGGCAGGACAAAGTTACAAATAGAGTAGTCCTAGAACAAGCTGGAATTTTTAGTACGTATACATTACTGAAACAGCGATGTCTATGTTGGCTTGGGCATGTCGTGAGAATGGCTGATGGTTGGATTCCAAAAGATCTCCTGTATGGAGAATTAGTGCAGGGAAATCGCCCCAGAGGGAGACCACAGCTGCTATACAAGGATATCTGCAAGCGAGATCTGAAGGCCTTAGGAATGGACCTCATTGACACCTGAGCGCTCAACCTGGAGGCAAGTGGTGCAGCATGGCCTCTCCCAATTTAAAAAGGCACTTGTTCAGCAGACCAAGGCAAAGATGGAGTCCCAAAACCAGCAAAACCAGGTAGCTGGACAGGGGACAGGTTGTATTTGTCTTCAATGTGGAAGGGATTGTCACTCTCCAATTGGCCTTCTCAGCCACACTAGACGCTGTTCCAAGACCTCTATTCAGAGCACGTTACCATAGTCTCTTGAGACTGAAGGATGGCTACTACAAAATACCTTGAAGTCAATGCGGAAATGAATGGACAACCACTGTAAGGCCACCAGAGTGGGAGAAATGTGATGACATTTTTTACCCCAGTTAACAATCTGGCGGCTGTGTTCTGGAGCTTTGGAGTTTCCACATCAGTCTCAAGGGCAGCCCCACATAGAGCGCATTACAGTAGATTACGAGTGCATGGGCCGGAGTGGTTAGTGCCCCAACATCAAGATAGGAATGCAGTTGGGCAAACCGGAGTGGTGAGTGCCCCAACATCAAGATAGAAATGCAGTTGGGCAATTCGCCAAAGATGTAAATGGGCAATGCGGACCGTGGACACTGCCTGGGACTCCATGGTAAGTGCTGGATCAGGATGGACCCCCAAGCTGCGGACCACACTCTGTGTGGTGAGAGTGGCCCCCAAAAGAGAGGGAGCTTCCCAAACCACTGATAGGAGAGGCGCCCACCCTCAAAATCTCCTCCTTGTCCAGGTTCAGTCTCAGTCCATTCTTCTGCATCTGGTGCTGTTGGAAAAAAAGGAGATGTAGAGCTGGTGCTGTTGGGAAAAAAAGGAGATGTAGAGCTGCGTATCATCAGCATACTGATGAAACAAAGCACCACACCCCCGGATGACCCCACTCAGCAGCCTCATATAGATATTAAACTACATTAGAGAGATGATCGAGCCCTATGACACCCTGTAATTGAGGAGCCACAAAGCCGATATACTCTCTTCAAGCTGAACTCTCTGGGAACGGTCCTCCAAGAAGGACCGGAGCCGGGCCACCGATCCCCAACTCTGAGAGCCATTTGATACTGTGGTTGACAGTATCAAAGGTGGCTGAGATATCAAGGAAAACCAACAAGGACATTTTACCTCTATTGGCCTCCCACAATAGATTAATCAAGCAGGGTGATCAGTGCCATTTCCATACCATGATGCGGCCTGAAGGCCGGCTGGAATGGATCCACAGCATTGGTTTCATCCAAGAGAGCCTGAAGCTGATCAGCCACCACCCTCTCTACAGCCACCACCCTCTCTAAGGAAGGAAACATTGGTGATGGGCCTATAATTGTCCACCGCCAAGCTCAGTTTCTTCCTGATGGGCCTAATGAGTGTCTGCTTGAGGGCAAGGAGAGACCCTGCCCTCCTGGAGAGACCCATTAAATATTGCAGTGGCCCATTCAGTTGTCACAGCCCTGGCTGCTTTGATTATCAAAGCGATTGTGCAGCCACGGGATTGCTTTGATCCCTTTTCCCCTCCACTTGCTAAAACCTGCTTAGATTTCTTAATTTTGGGTTAGAAAAGGGGGCCTTATACATTTGGCGTCTTATGCACAGAAAAATATGGTGATCACAAAGTTTTTCTACAGTTTGTATTCATAATTGTTCATTGCTTTATTGTGATTTAGGGTTATACTGCTTTGGGAAGTGTACTCTTAAGACGATATTATTGTGTTAATAAAATTTGCTGTTCTCTGCATAAAACATGTGGAATGTTAAATGTGCTAGTTTAATTTCCCGTGTGAATGCTAAATGTGAAACTGCTCTATTTTTAATAGTTTATAATTGAATCTGATTGGTCAAATTTTTGCAGTGCCTTGCTGTAATCCAACAAAACAGTTCTGTGTAGAGAAATGAGGTTTTCCTTTTGGTGGGAAAGGAAGCGGAAAGTATTAGTTATAAAACATCATCTGCCAAAACTTGCAGTGGAAACTGCAAAGGTAGTGTTTTAGAGACCAAATGTTGCCAATAGGGCTTGCTTTTTGAGATCTTTTAAGCCTTACTTATATATCTCCCCCCCACTTCCCCCCCTTTTCTTTTCCCAATAGTACAAATATAGAGATTTGACAGTTCAGGAAACTATCAGCGTTATTGCCCAGTATAAAGATCTTAAACCTGTAATGGATGGCTATGGTGAGTTGTGATCTTCTGACCAAAGGTTATTTAATATCTTACATTTTAAATCTAATTCTCTATAAAATAATTTGACGTTCAGTTCGTTCATGTTGGTTTCCTATTAATAATTCATCCTTTCCTGTACAATAAAAGTTGTTTCACTGAGAAGAAGAAATAGGATATCTTGTAGATTAATTACAGTGATGCCCCGCTTGACGACGATAACGCATCCCAGCAAAATCACTGTTAAGCGAAATCGTCGTCAAGCAAAAAAAATCCCCATTGAAATGCATTGAAAACTGGTCAATGCGTTCCAATGGGGGAAATACCTCATCGTCCAGCTAAGATTGCCCATAGAGAACCGCCGATCAGCTATTAAAAATTGCTGTAATGCGAAGCTTCTGTCTGGAAAGCAGCGATTTTGAGAAGGGAGGGAAGCCATTTTGTGGAACCGGAAAGCAGCCATTTTGAGAAGGGAGGGAAGCCATTTTGTGGAGCCGGAAAGCAGCCATTTTGAGACGGGAGGGAAGCCATTTTGTGGAACCGGAAAGTAACCATTTTGAGAAGGGAGGGAAGTCATTTTGCAGAGCCGGAAAAAACAGGCTCCTTATCAACGTAAAGCTGATTTCCCCCATTGGAACCATCGTATTGTGATCGCAATAGCGATCGTAAAAATGTCAGCGTAAAGTGATTTTGTCGTCAAGCGGGATAACCATCTAGTGAGGCACCACTGTACATGGAATTGAGATATTCTCCTTTAAAACAGGAATTGGAAAACTATTTTCCGTGTAAAGCGATTTTGTCGTCAAGTGGGATAACAATATAGTGAGGCACCACTGTACTTGGAATTGAGATATTCTCATTTAAAACAGGAATTGGAAAACTATTTTCCATTAGAAGGAGTACCTAAGTAATGGGAAGAACATGTTTTTAAAGATTATTGCTTTAATTTGAGGTTCTTCTTCGTGGCCTCTGTGAATCACACTGTGGATAATGTGCAGAGCCTTATCGGAATATTCTAGAGCTTCTGCAGTAGCAAAAATATACATTAGTACAGAGCCCTTCCCCTGACATATATACCTTGGCGCCAAGGCTCTCCTTTCAGTGAGTTTCTTTCAACTGCCATGCTGAGGGCCTTGATTGTTGCTTCTGTGAGAATCTGTAAATGAAAGAAAGTTATTCAACTTTATTTAAAATCTCTCTCTAAAATTATTATTCTTGTCTTTATTATTTACAAAACAAGATATGCTCCGGCGTTATGGCTGAAGCACCCCCCCCCCAAAAAAACCTCTCTTTTCTTTCAAGACTGGCTCTCCGTTCATGGCCTCTTCAGGCCCGTTTAAACGCTGCGCAGCCCGCGATAACAAGATCTCACTCTCTGATGGCCACACTAAATGCCTTTTTTGCCCATCAAACTTCTTCATGCCCCCTCTGCAAAAACTTTAAACGTGGAGTTTTCTGCAATTGCCTCTCTAGGCTCAAGCTTTGGTTTTAGGAGAAATCTCTCCAACCTGCTAATCCCATGGCCCAACCTTCCTGCAAATCCATGTCCCACGCTAAAGCCATGGATAAAGCAGTTTCCGAAGCAACAAGCAGCATCCGTCGGCTATTCCCTCTCATTCCAATCATCAAGAACCTACTGTGCCCTCCATATCAATCATCACACAAGTGCACAAAGCCAATCAAAGTCAAAACCTTTGACATCGAAAACAGCCTCTAAGAGAAAACTGTCCATCAATGCTTCCTTAGCACCAGAACTGTCACCTCTGAAGAAGAGTAAGTCTTTGAAATCGAAGCCTTCCAAAACCGTTTCCCTGACTCCACAACCACCGGACTCCAGAGACTTCATCTGTGTCGGTTCTCTTTCAGATGAGGAGGCACTTTCAGCTCATCAACCATCACCATCGCAGTCTCCCAATTGGGAACAGCATATTGATCGACTCACGGTTTCTCCCGATAGCCCGCAACAATCCTTGGGCTCTCCCAATGAGTCTTCACAAATTGCCTCACCAAACATCCATGGGGCTGAAACGCAACCAGAAACTGTGCCTTGCTCTGCCCCAGTAGGCCTACCACCACGGCATCCGGCACATCAACAAATGCACCAAGCCAATAAGAGCATCCGTTTGCCTTCTCACACGGAAAGTGATCATGCTCAGCACCATCATCGGGATGCCGTTTGCCCCGATTGGTGCCCAACAGAGAGACCTGCCAAACTATTGACCAGTCGCTCTTCCTGGCCCAGTGGTGATTCCACAGCATGTTGTCTCTGCTGGGAAGCCTTCGGTGTTGAAGCGATCTTATTACCATGATTCCCCAGGACTACTCGGCACCTCTTATCTGCTGGCACCTAAGAGAACAGGACTACTCGGCCACCTCTGCTGGCACCTAAGAGAACCAGGCAAGCCAATCAGTATTCCTCAGCTCTGGACATGTTTGCAGCACCAGCAAGTTACTATTTCCCTGTCCATCAGGAGAACCGTGAGCACTCATCCCGCTCAGCATCACCAGCATCTGTCTATTCCACCATAATACAATGTGGTCCATTGACACCTTTACCACCTTGACAGCTGTCTCGACACCGACAGCAACCTACGTTTTGACACCATCTCGATACCGACCCTTTTGATATTGATGATCCTTGATATCAAATGTTGTTCAATATCGGCACCAGTTGAAGACCCTTCAATGTCAATACCAATTGACAATCCTCGATGTTGACCACTGCCCACTGACGCCCCCTCAACATTGACAGCTCGACATCAACATCAATATTTTGAGGATCGTCTGCTCGACATCGATATCAATTGACATCGAATTCCAGCTTCCTACACCGTCAGACCTTCATCGCAAACTCTACAGGAAGAAGTAAAGTCATTACTACTCAAAGATGCCATAGAACCAGTACCATTACAGCACGCAGTCATAGGTTTTTTTTCTCTCACTATTTCACCTTCCCCCCCAAAAGATGGAGGCCTTTGCCCCATCCTCGACCTCAGGGAGCTAAATCAATACATTACTACCACCAAGTTCTGCATGGTCACCCTCGAATCCGCCCTCCCCTACTCCACAGAAAAGACTGGATCACTGTCATAGATCTAAGAGACACATATTTTCACATCTCCACTCATCCGTCTCACAGTCCCTACCTATGCTTCTGACTCAGAACTCAGGCCTACCAATTCGAAAGAATTCCATTCAGACTCGCAACAGCTCCCCAAGTATTCACCAAATGCATGGCCCCTGTGGCAGCGTACCTTAGACTTCACAAAATTCAGATCTTCTCCTACATCGATGACTGGCTGCTTGTAGCACGCTCCCATCACAAATCACAACGAGACATTCGCTTCACTTTGTCTCTTCTCCAGGATCTCGGCCTTGCAGTAAATCTGCAAAAATCCAAGTTAAAACCCACAAGGCTGAAAGGCTGGTTCATTATATAGGAGCAGTTATAGACTCCAGACATGCTTGGGAGTTTCTTCCAACGGACAAACTAATCTCCTTACTACGTGCCTTCACTCCTCACGTGCTCGTATCTGCGTTAACAGTCCAACGTGTTTTAGGCACTATGATGCCCATGACTGCTGTGGTTCAGCATGTTCGCCTAAAAATTAGATCACTCCAGGCATGGTTCCTAGCCTTCTTCAACCCAGTGGTCCAATAGCCACAGACAACACCACCTCAATTTATTATAGTCTCAAACAAGGGGGCACTCATTCCCCAAGCCTTTTATACCTCAATGTCAACCTGTGGGAATGGTGCCTCTCTTATCACATGTCTCATGGCAATACATCTAGCCGGTCAAGACAACAATCTTGCAGATTTGCTCAGTCACAAAGAATCTCAAGTCCACGAATGGGAGCTAGATCAATCAGTTTTTCTCTTCCTCTGCAAACGATGGGACATACCCACCATCAACCTCTTTGCCTCCCGGATAAACCCGGAAATGAAAACGTTACTGCTCCAGCGTAGAAGTAGACAGGACGCATTCATCAGCCGTTGGCCCAAATCTCTCACCTTTTTCTACCATTCCTGCTCCTCCACAAGGTTGTAGTCCATCTTCAACAGGACAGACCCAATGCTATCCTGATACCTCACAGAGAGTATCTAAGTGGATTGTGTCTACCATCCAGCTTGCTTATCAGGTTGCTCGAGTTCCTGCACCACAGAGTATCCGCCCTCATTCTACCAGGGCATTGCTGACATCTACAGCATTTCTTCTGGGCGTCTCCCTACCAGACATCTGTGCCTCTGCCTCATGGTCACAGCCCATCCACATTTATCAATCACTACAGATTGGACATTCGGCAGAAGTATGATACTGCTTTTGGGCATGCTGTGTTATCATCTACCTTGGTGTGACACCCTCCTCCGGGTAAGGTAGTTTGTAGGTCACCCATGGCATGATTCATAGGGGCCATGAAGAAGAAGAACAGGTTACCTACCTGTAATTGTAGTTTTTCGAGTGGACCTTTGTGATTCACATGTCCCAACCCAGCCTCCCCCCTGTCACATCCCCCTTTTTAATGCTGCAGTTGACCTAACTGCAGATCCTTGGTGCCATGGTACATATACTAGGGGGAGGAGACTGTACTCATATGTATTTTTGCCGCAGAAGCTCTAGAATATTCCAACAAGACTCCGCAAATGTGCGGATTACCCATAGTGTGAATCACATAAATGTGCGGATTACTCATAGTGTGAATCACAAAGGTCCACTCAAAGTACTACAATTACAGGTAAGTAACCTGTCGTTTTGTCTTGAAGGTTATCATAATACTTACAATTGTGATGTTTTCTAAAAGAAGCTCATTTTCTTAAATGACAGTACATGGCAACAACAGTTTTCATCATAGGTCATTGGGTAGCACAGAGAACATCTGTTACGTATCACAGTTTGCTGAATTATTTGCTGGGCATTTCACATTGTGTGGTAGTGCTTTAAAAACGTAAGAAATGTTTCTGAGATATATCTGTATATGTGAGCGTACAAATTGTTTAATGTCTGTAAAGTGAACACTTCTTATAATGTTTCTCTCTTCAGTTTTTAATGATGGTTCATCAAGAGAATTGATGAGCCTTACTGGTACTATTCCTGTAAGTTACAGAGGTATGTATATCTTTTGACTAGTTTGCACATGTATTACTTGAAAGCATATCTGTTCATTATAATCTGTGCATCTGCATGTACTGTATTACTTGAAAACATATCTGTTCATTATAATCTGTGCATCTGTATAACCCCTTCCAAATACCATGTTCTTAAGATTTGTAACGTTGGTCTAGTCTTTATTACGCTTTTGTTTGCTGTTTCAGAGATTTAGGAGTAGAACAATATTACAAATCTTAAAATCAGTTCAGAAGTGAATGAGGATTAATAAACTGAAGCTTAATATAGATGTGTTTGTTATTGTTACTGTATATTGTTATTTTGTTTCTGTGTTTATGCTGAAAGAGATATGGAGGGCTTTTTATTTTTATTGCCTCAGGTACCAAAACAGCTTAGATGACTGTGGGTATCATGTAACTGAAGTTGGATGGTAATGGTGCTGTGGGCTTCTGCTATTCTGCTTGAAGCAGCAAAATACATTGGGCCAGCCCTGTCACTGTCTCCCTGTGATTAGAACATTTAAGAAGGGAAAACTTATCCTGGGTGTCTCATATATACAGTAGGACCGCCATATCTGTAGGGTCAGGACCTGCGGTTTCACTCACATCTGCCTGAAAATATTAAATTTAAAAAAAGTCTGAAATATGCGGTTTCAATGCATATTACCAAAACCAACCACTAGAGGGAACCAGAGACTCTGCTGTGTACTGTATTGTATACAGTTTCTATATCCTCTCTTTCCAGTTTGTGTGTGCGTTCGTATGTGTGTGTGTGTGTGCGATTTTTGGAACCGATCCCCTGCAGATACTATGGTCTTTTTGTGCTATTAATATCCTATCGCAAGATATGGCAATGGGATGAGGTCAGAACTGAATACTTTGTGAAGCACAGCTATCTCTTTACTGTAAGGTAGTGAAAGCCGTTGGCTTGTATGGTATTAAAATATGTTAGATAAACTCATGGAGGATCAATCTATCAGTGGTTATTGGCTGTGTTTTAAAAATATGTTCAGTGGCAGTATAGTCTTGCGTACTTAATGATGGACTATTTGTGGCCAGATGCTATATGTGAGTTTCAAGGAGCCAGTCATTGTTACAAATAGTATGCAGTCGTAGATGTTATTTGGTTTAGTGAGTCACAACAGTTACTAGGTACTTAACAGCATTACTGGAACAGGTATATCATATCTCATGATCTTACAACAATGTCCTCTGTTATGAGAAGGAAAACCATGCATTCTCTATTTTTAAAACCTCTTCAGGCAACACCTACAATATTCCAATATGTCTGTGGCTACTGGATACATATCCATTCAATCCCCCAATCTGTTTTGTTAAGCCAACTAGTACAATGACAATTAAAACTGGCAAACATGTTGATGCAAATGGAAAGATTTATCTTCCATATCTTCATGAATGGAAACATGTAAGTACAATTTTAAAATTTGATTGTTATTTTAGATTATTTTATCTTTTAAGTAACATATTGGATTATTATGATTAGTGCATTTTGTCCCTTGGCCATGTAGAATAGCAGAAAGGCTTAATCCTGAAGATCTGGAGCCTCTGCTCATTCATTCATTCAAAATATTTTACCCCACCTTTCTTCCTAAAAAGACCCAAGGCTGCTTACATCATTAAAATATAACATTAAAGCTAACAACCGTGAGTATACAAATACTAAAAAGAATCAAACAAATACATATTACTAATAATGAGTAAAGTTTTATCCTCTGTACATAGTGCTACTGCTTTTGTCATCTTTGGTCACCTGCCTTTTGGTTTGAAACTGAAAAACCTTGCTGCAGAATATCTTTAAACTATTGACATATTTGCCATTATTTATTTATTTTATTTTATTTAAGCATTTATATCTTGCCCTATATCATAGGATTCCAGGCCAGATTGCAAAACTGTATGAAATAATTTTAGAAGAGAAGATATTTAAAACAATTGAAAATCAAACGACACAACATTAAAACACTCAGACATTAAAAACATAATGCTAAAAGCCTGTATAAGCCAAGTTCCTCAGTCCTCAAAAGCTTTAATAAATAAGTACGTCTTAACTTGGTGCTGAAATGAAGGAGAGAATAACCTGCCAATCCTCAGTATCAATTATTGTTGTGGAAATTTGGTGTTTAAAGGGGGTTTCTAGGAATTTAGTTACTTCTTTTAGTTATCAGACAAAACAACTACACAGAAAAATGGAGAGATCAGCCCAGTCTCATCAAACAGCACCCTCTCTGGTTTGCACACAGACTAACACATTTGCTGCCCAGAGTAGACCTTTGGTCTAGATGGGTGGGGTAGAAATCTAATAAAATAAAATAAATAAATAAATTGTATGGTGAAAATGACTCTAAAAGCATTTAAAGTAAAAAAAAAAAAAGATACCTTACAGTTACCACCTGTAGTTAAAGTCAGTAGGCCCTGCATTGCCTTTTCCTTAGAGGATGATTGGAGGAAGAAAGGAGCTATCAACAAAACAGGAGGAGCAAAAACATGCAGAGGCTTGCCAGAGGTGGGAATAGAATTTTACTAGTCAAGGTGCTGGTAAAGGACAGTCACATTAGGCTATAAAGCCCCCTGCCTCCCACTGATACCCAGTGTTAGGGCATGCAAGATTGCTATTATCTCAGCAATTGTTGCTGGTAGTTCATTGACCAGAACTCACTTTCTCATAAGCTTTTTTTTCCAAAGATACATTATGTTATTTTTACAGTGAGCTCCTTCTAAATGAATTTGAATAAACTAGACTGAAACATATACTTACACAGAAGGAAAAAGTAATCTCTTAGTCCTCAGTAACTGCTGTGATGACAGATTTGTTACCTTTGCTAATGGGAACCTGTCTTGTTTGTGTTAACCTTTAGCCACAGTCAGATTTGATAGGATTGATTCAAGTTATGATCGTTGTGTTTGGAGAGGAACCTCCAGTATTTTCGCGGCCTACTATTTCAGCAGCCTATCCACCTTATCAAGCAACAGGACCACCAAACAGTAAGCAACTGATGCCCCTTGTACATGTAAACAAGAAGTAGTAAAACAAGCATTTGTATGTCATAGTGTTTATTTGAACATTATGTTCTGAATATTGTGGTCTTAGGTTTTGTTTTGTTTTTTATTTGGGTGGCCTTTGGTCATTTTAATCCTGCAAGACAAAAAGTCTGAGACAGTCAGCATCACCCAGACATTGCCGAAGGACTCTGAGTTATGCCTCCTAGACCTTAATGGTGATGGTGTTGGATGGTTACCTGTCAAAGTATGCCCCTTTTGAAACCATTAACTGTTTCCAATTCTTGGAAAACAAGCAAAATATTTTTAACTACCAAGTAACACACATTCTTAACAACAAAAGATTGATTTTAATATTAATATTATGAAGGAAACTATAATTACTGATGAAATCTGTTTATAAAACACAGATCTCTCATTGTCAGATAACTGAGCAAAAGATTGATTTTAAGATTAATATTATGAAGGAAATTATAATTACTGATGACTGCTTGATTCAGCTTCATGAGCATTGTCTGCAAGTATTCAATTGATCAAGGACACACCACCAGTTGCCTTGATAAGACTGTGTGTTTCTGAGAAAATGATTTGACAGCTGGTAACAGAATTTCCTGTGATGCTCTGTTGCTGATGTGTACAGCTTTTTAAAAATAGTACACTTTTACTAGTTTAGTAATACTGCGCTATTATAGGGAAATCTGTTTATAGAACACAGATCTCTCATTGTCAGATAACTGAATGCTGGAAATCCAAAGGTAGTTCTGTATAAATTTCTCTGCCGTTCTGACCTTTCAAAAACTGTGCTCATATTTTACTATAGGAAAGTTTACCAGGCAACCTCGTGGTGAGAATATTGTCTCTGCCAGTAGATGGCAGTCCAGTACAGATTAACCGTTCCTAGCTGGCAAATGGATAGATTGCAAGTTTGAAATCCTCACTGATGTTTTAGTCTTACAGTTCTAGAAATTGTATTATGCATAAAATCGAAAAACCACAGTAGAGTAGAACCTGTATTGCAGCCAAATAGAATGTTCACAAGTAGTAGACAAGCTTTCATGTCCATAACTTTCTTCAAACTTGTTATTAAATAAAATAATGCAGTGAGAGAGAAGGTGTAATTGAAAACCTCTGAAACCTAGCTCTTATTTGTCTTAAGGCATAGTGTGGGAATTGTTCTTTAGCAATCAACACAACCTGCTTTTATCCAGCTTTCTTTGGTTTTTCCAGTTCCAATAATGCTGTGTACGTCCAGTGCCGGAAAGGTGGCTTTTGGAGAGACACAGGGAGCTGCAGTGGAGATGAGAGGATAAGACTTAGGTCAAGTTGCTAAAGCAGATGTGTACTTGAACAGTTCTGTGCTAACACTAAAGCACTTAAGATCATAAGAAGGGCCCTACTGGATCAGGCCAAGGGCCCATCTACTCCAGCTTCCTGTATCTCACCATGGCCCCACCAGATGCCTCTTGGAGCACACAAGGCAACTAGATACCTGTCTCCTGATATCACTCCTCTGCATCTGGCATTTTGAAGTACCTTCCTTTTAAGCCTGGAGATTATCCATCCCCCATCATGGCTTGTAACCTGCAATAGACTTTTCCTCCAGAAATTTTCATGAGCATTGTCTACGAGTATTAAATTGATCAAGGACACACCATCAGTTTGCCTTGATAAGACTGCGTATAAGAAAATGATTTGACAGCTGGTTATATTTGTACTAGAATTTCCTGTGATGCTCTGTTGCTGATGTGTACAGCTTGGTGTCAAGATTTTAAAGACTCCTTATTTGGTTCATTTAGCAACAGAAATTAACAGTTAACAGAAAAGTTACAGAGTCTAAAAGGCCTCATTTTAATTTATGAAGAAGTCAGAAGGACTACTTACCTGGATCGGAAAATTTGCAACACCCTGAAAAAATCTCATTTAAATATTTAGTGCAGCTTTTGTGAAGCTGCATGGCAAAAACAAAGCATAACAAGTGGAGGTTATATGGAGGGCTAGATGTAATGATTTGGGAAATTGAATTTGGTGCCCCTAATGAAAACTTCTCTGCATTGTGAACATGTGGTCTATTAAAAATTAACCTAAGACTCTTAGTGCCACTATTAAAAATACATGGTTCTAAGGGTAGTATTTTGATATAACTGAGTGACATTATCATTGTCTTGAATTATTAAAATGACCTGAATTGTTCTTGTGCTCAGCTTCCTACATGCCAGGTATGCCAAGTGGAATATCTCCTTTTCCCCCCGGACCGCCTCCTAACCCAAGGTAAACTGTGGTTAAATCTTTCTGTGTAGTAGAAAATGTTGAAAGTGATTGGACTATGCTGTGTTGTACCAGGTTCCATGCTTGAGACAATTGTGGGTACAGTTCTACCTTCTCATGGTCTTTTCCATGTTATGCAGACATTTAAAATTACAGTATGTCTTTTGTTGAAAGAATGTCAGGTTCAGTCAAGTTTTGATTAATGGTGTAGAGAAACAAAACTTAAAACTTTTTGATATTCCTTTTTGGCTTGCGGGGGGCTAGCTACGCTTTGAATAAGAACCCTGCTCAGAAATCAGGCCTTCGGTTAAAGAACATACAGAGAGAGAAAGAGAGATTGTCCTGCCCCTTCCTGTAGCAACAGTGTCTCTGTCAGCTCCATTCCTGAAACTCCATGTGTTTGGAAAACTGTTTGAGTGGGAACTATGTATGTTCAACCTGAAGGCATGTTGGCTCCTCTGTACAATCATATAGCTTCTCTCTTCCGTTTTCCTATCAAACACGTGAAAGTCTGGGAGGTTGGGAGTTCACTTCCCCACTCTGCCTCCTTAAAAAGGGCTGGATTCAATGATCCATAGGGTCCCTTCCAGCTCCGCAGTTCTAAGATGATGTCGTTACTGTTTCTTTCCCTAGTTTCTACCCATATAAACATACTGGTCAGCATATACCTATACTGGTTAGCGGCAGTACTTTGTAATGAACTGTTAGATTTATTCTAAATTGAACATATCTTTGAATGCAGTGGCTCCTCACACAGAGCTTATTTGTATCTCCCTGAGCTCATGCCCTGTGGCAAGTTTGCTTGTACTGTCCTGTTGATGAATGGTTGATAGTTTGTCTGCCATTGCTGTATTTATGGCAGTGTGTCTGAGTTCAGAAAATTACAGTTGAAAGCACTGCAGCAGGAAAACCATAAAAGCAGGAAAATTTACTTTAGTGAAATAAAAATTAGCTCTGCCGAATGGGGTTAGAGAGAAAAGCTGGATCTGGAAACAGTGAAAAGCAAAAGACTTTGGAGAAATCATAAACTGTATGCATATTCTGGCAGATGAAGGTGCCTGTGCGGTCTCCCCACTAGAGTCAGGGTAGGTCTCTGTGTGGAGAACATAGGGCAGAAAATTGCAAAATGATTAATAGCCATGTATGATAAACTCTGGCCACTTCAGAACTTATCTGCAGTTTCAGTTGAAAAGTATGCAGAAAAAACTCTGAACAAGAATTTTAAATTGTGTAAGTAAATAAATAGTATGGCATAGTCTTAGACAGAAATGAGAATTGACTATCTTTAAAACAATCCAGTTGTCCACTGGTACTGCTAAAATATGTGAATAACAACGTTTCTTTCTGACTTGAAATCTACTCTGAATATTGTCTTTGTTTTTCTAACTTCTATTTTTGTATTGAAAATTGGTGAAATGTAGCAGTTTGTGTATAATCTAAAGTGTATAATCTAAAGACTGTGTTGTACTGATAGTCTTTCCCCCCCTCTTCAAGTGGCTACCCAAGCTATCCTTATCCTCCACCTGCTGGACCATTTCCAGCAACAACTAGCACACAGCACTATCCTTCTCAGCCTCCTGTAACCACTGTAGGTGAGTAACTTTGTCGAGTGTTCCTTTCAGATATGGAGAATGAGATTTCTAGCCATAAATATACAGCAACAAAATAATATGTTTCTGAAAGCCGTATTGTTTTTAACACTGTAGGGGAAGGGAAGAGAAAAATGTTGTAGTCAGAATATTTCTTTAGTATTAAAGGTGTTGCAGTTTTTATTTTGCTCTATTATTTGATCTGTAGAACACTCATTAATTACTTCTTACACTCTTCAAGAAAGTAATTGTTATTCAGCTTCCCTATGTAATGAAGTTGATATATGTTTGAAATTATGATAGTACCAAAACCAAAACAAATTAAAACTAGACGACAAATGCAAGACACTTATATATTTGTTGTGTCCTCCAGTCTCATTATTTGGGGTATGTGTGATTCTTATAGTTATGGGGTTTTAGATGGGGTGAGAAGTTTTAATCATTACTGAACTGTGGACACACCAGAAGTTTGAAGAGGATTGTTTGGACACTAGTTTGAAGAGGTATAACCAGTATGAAGTAACTGCAGTCCAAGTCGTGATGCTACAGTCTGTTTATCAACCGTTTGCCATTCAGCTGAGGATGCTAACCAATAATTATGGATAAAGTGAAGACAACTTTCATTACTATTGACTCAATGTAGCTGAAAATCTGTTTTGTGTGTGGTTAATGCGAAGTAGACTCATTACCCTCATTGTGTTCTCTGCTGCATGAATGGGTCAGGTATACAGCTATGCAACTATGGAAAAGTACAAGTGTTATTACAGAATTGACGTGATGCTAACTGCCATGAATGAAACCATACTGTATTAATGAAGATGTATGTGAAGTTGGTTTATATGTAAGATAATGGTGCCAGTCAGCAACTGTCTTCCATTTCACCTTGTTTGAATTGGGTACTGCAAAGATTGCTCCATTTGTATATAGGACCAAGTTCTGTAAAGGTCCATTCTGTTTTGGTAAAAAGTTCCAAGAACTTGAAAATTGTGCCTCACTTTGAGATTCTAGTTTGAATTGTGGCAGTCTTTGTCTCCAGCAATGGTGGCTGTTCGGCAAAAACCTGAAAAACTGGACAATATTATTTAGGATCCAATACCATCTTTCCTTCCAGTTTTTACATTGCAGTTCTGATATACACTGTGGCATTAGATAACACCTTCACTTTTTATTGAAGCATGTGACTTTCAGGAAACTTGGATTTTTGTAAATTGGTTTGGGAAATATTTGGATTCAAATTGTTGTTTCAAGTAGTAATGAGTAGACTGTATCCTTATTCTAACAGTGAACATGGATTTTTTCCCCATTGATCTTATTACTCTACTCAGATACATCATTTAACCAGTACACTTCATGCACCAGTGTGTTGCAAAATTTTCTGAAGCAGTGTTCAAATCATGAGTTTGTTTTTAGTGGATGATTAAGCCTGTATTTTAAGGCAGATGCATCCATGTCATGTTCTGAGATTTATATATATTGCCTCATATAATTCAAATTAAAATAACACTTCATAAAGTACAGTGCTTGGGCCACAAAGTTTATGACGCATTAATGCATGTTTGTTCTCTTAATAGCAGATGGCAGAAGAAAGCAGAAACAGGTATGGATTTGTGGTCATTCTTATGTTTTCTGGGCAGAAAAACGAGCACTTGAAAGAAGCTTTGGCCCACAGTTGGGCATTCGACTTGAAGATGGCAAATTACACTGGCTAGGAAAGAGTGGAATGACATGGGATCAGTTAATACCAACACTATTGCATACACGACGACGTTTGCCAGATCCTGATGTGCTGGTGATCCATCTAGGAGGAAATGATCTAGGAACAGATAGCAATATGACTCTCATACACCGAATGAAGAAAGATTTAGGATATCTTAAGCAAATATTCAAGAATAGCATTCTGGTGTGGTCTGATATTGTGCCCCGTAAAGTATGGAACCAAGAACTGCCCGCTTTCTTGATGGAGAAAAGCAGGAGAAAGGTCAACCAAGCAATTGGCCGTTTTATCTATGATATTGGAGGAACTGTGATCAGACACGATACACTTGTACTACAGTCTCCTGGATTGTTCCATCTAAATGGCGTTCTCTTGTCTGAAAGTGGCACAGACATCTTCAACCTGGACTTAATGGGTGTTTTGGAGACTTTGGTTTGAATTTTGCTTTGGAGGAAGAATGTATGATGAGAGTGCAGTTTTAACAAGTATGGAAACTTTCCAATAAAGTTAGAACTTTGTACACAGCATGGCAAAAATCAATTAACAAGGTAGGGGTAATGCCCTGTTTATATGGTAATAGATATTGATTGGTAATGTGGTAGTCTTTTGCACTGCTCTAAGTTGCTTCAAAGACAATATTTGTCCATATATTGTAACTGTATTGGAAGTTTTTGTTTTGTTTGTTGCTGTTTTTTAATTGATTTATATTCATTTCTGATGTTTGCTTAGAGACACTGCCAAACAATTTAATTCCTTGACTGATTTTTAATCCCTAAAGTGCTCAGGAAATACACCATGATATTAACATAATGGGTTTATATCGGTAGGATGGGACTACTGGTGGTTATTGGGTGCCATCAGAATCGGTACTTAATATTGCAGTTTTAAATTCAGCAGCCTGTAACTTTAAAAGAAACAAGGCTAATTTAAATCCATAAACAAATAATCTGAGACTCTAGTTTTCCTTTGCCACACATGGCTGGAAATATATCACAGGTGTCAACACCTTTAGCACTGGTGTGATTTTCTGTAACCTACCATATATTGAGTGGCTCAATATATATAACGTGGCTGGCTTAATGATCTTTATTTTAAGCAAAAAAAATGTGCCTATACCTTCCACTCCTGCTCATCACCTTTTCTTTTCTGCCAGTTTTATTCCTGATCTTTCTAGACTGGGTATGGACGAAGTGTGGCCTATAAGGCACATGCCCCTTTGCAGGCCAGTGTGTAGCACCAGTATCTCTGCTTTCCAGGCCCCCAACATTTATTGTACAAAATCATATCATAAAACAACCAAAAACTCAGTAAGGGTGGAAAAAGTGCAAAACTTCCTGGTGCTTCCTAGAGGGCTCCAGGTAACTTTTTGAACTAATTTTTTTAGTGAGAGGGATGTTGGAGCCAGGGAAGCTGCACTGTGAGGATTTTTTTAAAAAATAAAACACAGCACTCTTAATCATTTTGCCTTAACTTAGAAACTGAGATCTTTAAGGTTAATCTAGATAGTCTGTGAAAACTGCATGAAAATTTATGCTCTACTTGTCCTGAAGCTGTTACAGTTGTTTGACAGTGTCTTTGTAAGGTGGTTACACCACCTTTATGACCTTCATTATGTTGCTTTCTTCAGGAAAAAAAGAGGCACAAAAAGTCTGTGTTGACTACACTTTTGTTAAAAGTGTCAGTTTGGTTTTTTTTTGTTTAGTTTAGTTTGTTTGTTTTTTGCAATTAATAGTAGTGATTGTTAGCAGAAAATAAAATACAGGAAAATGTTTGTACATTATATTCTAGCCTAAATCCAAGCCTGTCACATAATTAGCAATGACTGTTAATCATATTGTAAAATGAGTCTCACAAAACAATATACTGTTTTGTTTTGATAGTCATTTCTTTGTAAATTATTTTTATATGGCACTCTGCCTTTGGGTTTCTTTTGCAAGCAAGATATTGCTTAATTTCTGTGGCTGATGTCATCTCCATATTTTCTTGGAAGTGTAATCACTCTGCAGAAGAATGTTGGTTAAGTAACAAAGTCTGCTACACTTTCTGGGCCTTGGAAACTACAGTTCAGCACAATTTTGATTCTGGAATGTAGAAAAGAAATACAATATATGTATGTGCTCCAGGTTAACAACATAGGATGAAGACAATGAAGATTTTTAATTTTCAGCCATTTTTCTTTCAACATCTCTGAAGTTTTATACCCAAAAGAAGAAAACTGTACAGGTTATTTTGAATAACTGGGATGAAACAGACTACTTTTTACATATTTGTTTGTAGTGGATCTAATATTCTGAGTGTCCTCCAATATTCTATAAAGACCTACTGTGTCATCTGTTTCAACTGAAGATATTTTCCAACACTTTCTGTTTGATCCATTCAATTTGTATAATTTAAGATTTGTGTTTAAAAAAAATAAAATACTGGTCTTTATTTTTTAGTCATTACATGTTATATAGGTGGGTAATTACCAAATGAGAGTTATTTTTCTCCAAAGATTTCTTTAAGTAAGATATTGTTCAGGTAATAAAGTGCATTGTATTAAAATGCCACTCCACTTTCAAATATAGCAAAGATAATACAGTATTTCCCTCAAATGTGTTTAGGTTATATTTCACATGCAGCTATAAGCTGGCAGTAACAATTGATATTTGGTGACATCTCTGTAAGTGAGCATTTCATGACTTGAATTTAGACTTCTGGTGACATGAGTAGAAAAGCCTTTCTATTTGTATAAGGCAACAGCAGCAGCAGCTTCCTGATTTCCAAACTGTCCTGCCATAGTTCCCCATTTCACCTGCCGCACTGTTGCCCTGTAATCAGGAGGGATGTTTGTGGTGGGATGGATGGGGGAGAGGATCAGGAAACTTTGGGGCACATGGAGTTCATGATGTGCTTCTGGATATTAAGTTTTTCATCCTGTAGCAGTTAAAACTGGAAAGTAGAATTTCTGTCATCACTGATTCAATATTACATGCATTTACTTGTAGTCCGTATTGAGTGTCTGAACCCACTGAAATGAACTGCCGTATATGTTGTGCGTTTACATTTGAAAATAGATGACAGCTGTGGTCAATATTAAGTTTGTGTTATCTTTTTTATATCAGCTGTTAGTTTATCCTTGTTCATAATTTTGAATTGGTGAGATGGTCTTCCAAAAATATTAGTTGTTCTTGCTGCAATAGAGACACAACAGTGCACACAGTAACATCTTCCATAGGATCACTTTGTTTTGCTTAGTCGTCTAGGGCAGTGGTCCTTAACCTGGGCTATATAACCCCCCAGGCGGCAATTTTGTTTTTCAGGGGGGCGATGGAACGTAAAGGGTCAACGCGGGGGCAGAGGAACAGAAGGGGGTGATATGGGGGCAGTGGAGTGAGCCAAACCTGAGAAGGCGGCTGCAGCCGCGGTACTGGCAGCGGATCTGGCAGGTGGATCCAGAGCAGCTGCTACTGGCAGCGGATCGGGGGCCGCTGCCACCTCGCTGCTGCGGGAGGGGGCGATGATAGCTTCCTCGGTGGCTCAAGGGGGCGCTTATTTCAAAAAGGTTAAGAACCACTGTCGTTTTTATATTGGTAGAATGGAATCTCCTCAAAATACTGAGCCTATGGATGGTACTGGGTTAATTCATCTAGAATTTCTTTCTACTCTTTAAATAACTTTGAATACATGCTTTTTTAAAATTATTCATGCTAATATGGGCTAAGATCCAAGATTTTCTGTGAAATGAACTTCCGCAGAACGAAGGGTCATATTGCTTACCGTTAGAAGCTCCTAGCATCTCATGCAGTGCCGTTATGGAGTATCTAAATTTGGAGCTGTTGTACTGGAAAGGGAAATGAAAAAAGAAGGACCATGGAGTAATGGTAGAGCCATGTAATTTGTTTGCAGAGTGTATCAAGTTCTGTTTCTGATGCCTGAAGTTAAAAGGTTCAGCTAGCAGAGACACCTGCCTAGTACCCCTTCTCTTTCCCTGTCAGAGTAGATAGTGCTAGGCTGGATGGACAAATGATAAGACCCAGGATAAAACACCTTCCTGTGCTTATAAACTTTTAAATGGAAGATTGCTTGAGATGCTTTGAATTCTGCACAATGTAAGATAAACACTATAAATATCATAGAGATAAACATTCTCAATGCTAAAAGCTATTTTGAAATGACTCCATTGATCATTAATAATTTTGGTGTGAAATAAATTGTTTCAAGAATTAAGTTTTACTTTCCCTTCCAACATAATGACTGGAATTCTGTTGATGTTTGTGTAAAGGGTGCGTGGCAACTATTTGAGAAGGTGCTAGGACACATCTCAGTTGTGCAGCTGAGTGCATAACTAGTTCCATGACAGACATGTTCCAGCACCACATCAGTTAGCCACAATTATCCATGGCAAATTATGCAAACCTTACATGAACACTTTTCGATTATCGCCAAACGTGTAGTCCAACTTGCTTTGAAATTAGGTACCTTTTCAAACCTTTTTACATATTTTCATCTATTTTCTGTTGTCTGTTTTCTAAAGTGCAGTATTTCCTTTTGTTTTGGTTTTTATTTTCAGGATGTTGACCATTGCTCATGGGATACAAACCCAACATTAAGAGTGTATTAAGGTTTTAACCAGTCTGTAAATGCTTAATGGTAGTGGTGCTAGTGTGGGGGATATACCTACCAATATTTATTATTATGTTTGGCCTCATCCCCTGCATGTATTTAAAATTTCTTGCTAAGTTGCATCTGAGGAATAGTTTATTGCTTTTGAAATTGTTGGAATGTATTTCCAGAGTAATTTTGCCCTGCTTTCAGTTATATAGATATAGATTCAACATTTGTTTCTTCCACTGCTAACTTCAACCTTGGCTGTGCTTTTTTCTAACTGAATTCCTGGTGTGCAAGACTGGAAGGTCAGTAGTGTAATGTCATTTCTGAAACCAGATTCTGTATGGCAAAGGTTAAGTGTCTTGAGTATTCCTAAAATAAATGGCTGTGTGCCACATAATCTCCTGAAAGGGTGGCTAATTATGGAAGTGATAGAAAATGTTAAGGGTTCATGTACTTGAAGGTGCTCAGTAAATCATGTTTTTTCTTACAAATATAAAATGGCAGCCTTCTTTTTTTCCCTCTGCATTTATCAAATGTGTGAACATACAGAGTTAAATTTTTGGACTTTATATTGTTGCTTTATTTATATTAAGGATAGTCTCCACAAGTAAACATTGCAGGCTGAGAACATGTTACTTATTCTAAATGGGGATATACAGAGGATTTTTATATATTTTTACACACACACAGACACAGACACAGACACACACAGACACAGACACACACACACACACACACACGGAAGGAGAAAGAAACATACACAATGTATTCTTGAAGGCTTTCGTGGCCAGGATCCAATGGTTGTTGTAGGTTTTTCGGGCTGTTTGGCTGTGTTCTGGAGGTTTTTCTTCCTAACGTTTCACCAGTTTCTGTGGCCAGCATCTTCAGAGGACAAGAGCTAGAACTCTGTCTGTGAAGATGCCAGCCACAGAGATTGGCGAAACGTTAGGAAGAAAAGCCTCCAGAACATGGCCAAACAGCCCAAAAAAACCTACAACCACCACCGAAACATACACAGTTTGGCTACCCACGTGTGAGCTCACTGCTTACATAGGATTTTATTTGTTGTTTTAGGGAAAGCATCTTGTAGATTAAAAGACTAATTTGAATGCTGGTGGCCTTTGTCCTAGCCATACAAAATAGCTTAGTTAACTGAAGCATGTGGATTAGCTTTTATGTCCACCCATAATCTTATTCTGAAAGTATGGTGAGGATGTTTTGCTCTCAGACACACCAGAAATTTGTATGAACTAAAATGACTTTAAATGAGATGCAGGTTCTGTGAAAGTGCAATCAGATACAGTCTTCTGACATTCAATGATTTTTCAGTTCCAGAAACTTGTCAAAATCATATAGTGACATTTCTACCATAAATAGAAGAAAAATAGAATTGACCCTGATTTAAAACCCTTCTGAAAAAAATAGTTATGCTTTCCATATTTAGGGGAAAGTGTGTGGTGCATAAAATACTTAGTCAGGACAACAATAGAATAAAATTGTGTAAGGAAAACTTAGAAGTATCATCTGTGGTTTCAGACTAAGATTTTTTTTAAGTATTGAAAGTGCTGATTGAGACAAAAGCATTGTTAATGTAATAATGTAGGGCGGATTTCCATAGTAAACATTGCTACATACAGTTGACTTAAGGTGCATACATATATGTGTGTGCTTGTGTTTGTGTACGTAGAGATAATAAGCAAGACATGAGTCTGTATGGTGACTTAGCATATAACAATACAGTATATTTATATTTTTAAAGTAAATTGCTCATATTATTGAAGCAAATGTTTTGTTTTGTTTTTATTCCTATGAACCCTTTTTGTGATCAGTAATAAGA